ACAGACAGCACACACACAGACACTACCGCCTTCCACACTAAACACACAGACAGCACATACACAGACACTACCGCTGCCCACACTAAACACACAGACAGCACATACACAGACACTACCGCCTTCAACACTAAACACACAGACAGCACATACACAGACACTACCGCTGCCCACACTAAACACACAGACAGCACATACACAGACACTACCGCCTTCCACACTAAACACACAGACAGCACATACACAGACACTACCGCCTTCCACACTAAACACACAGACAGCACATACGCAGACACTACCGCTGCCCACACTAAACACACAGACAGCACATACACAGACACTACCGCCTTCCACACTAAACACACAGACAGCACATACACAGACACTACCGCTGCCCACACTAAACACACAGACAGCACATACACAGACACTACCGCCTTCCACACTAAACACACAGACAGCACATACGCAGACACAACCGCCTTCCACACTAAACACACAGACAGCACATACACAGACACTACCGCCTTCCACACTAAACACACAGACAGCACATACACAGACACTACCGCTGCCCACACTAAACACACAGACAGCACATACACAGACACTACCGCCTTCCACACAACACACAGACAGCACATACACAGACACTACCGCCTTCCACACTAAACACACAGACAGCACATACACAGACACTACCGCCTTCCACACTAAACACACAGAGAGCACATACACAGACACTACCGCCTTCCACACTAAACACACAGACAGCACATACACAGACACTACCGCTGCCCACACTAAACACACAGACAGCACATACACAGACACTACCGCCTTCCACACTAAACACACAGAGAGCACATACGCAGACACTACCGCCTTCCACACTAAACACACAGACAGCACATACACAGACACTACCGCTGCCCACACTAAACACACAGACAGCACATACACAGACTCTACCGCCTTCCACACTAAACACACAGAGAGCACATATACAGACACTACCGCCTTCCACACTAAACACACAGACAGCACATACACAGACACTACCGCCTTCCACACTAAACACACAGACAGCACATACACAGACACTACCCGCCTTCCACACTAAACACACAGACAGCACATACACAGACACTACCGCTGCCCACACTAAACACACAGACAGCACATACACAGACACTACCGCCTTCCCACACTAAACACACAGACAGCACATACACAGACACTACCGCCTTCCACACTAAACACACAGACAGCACATACACAGACACTACCGCCTTCCACACTAAACACACAGACAGCACATACGCAGACACTACCGCTGCCCACACTAAACACACAGACAGCACATACACAGACACTACCGCCTTCCACACTAAACACACAGACAGCACATACACAGACACTACCGCTGCCCACACTAAACACACAGACAGCACATACACAGACACTACCGCCTTCCACACTAAACACACAGACAGCACATACGCAGACACAACCGCCTTCCACACTAAACACACAGACAGCACATACACAGACACTACCGCCTTCCACACTAAACACACAGACAGCACATACACAGACACTACCGCTGCCCACACTAAACACACAGACAGCACATACACAGACACTACCGCTGCCCACACAACACACAGACAGCACATACACAGACACTACCGCCTTCCACACTAAACACACAGACAGCACATACACAGACACTACCGCCTTCCACACTAAACACACAGAGAGCACATACACAGACACTACCGCCTTCCACACTAAACACACAGACAGCACATACACAGACACTACCGCTGCCCACACTAAACACACAGACAGCACATACACAGACACTACCGCCTTCCACACTAAACACACAGAGAGCACATACGCAGACACTACCGCCTTCCACACTAAACACACAGACAGCACATACACAGACACTACCGCTGCCCACACTAAACACACAGACAGCACATACACAGACTCTACCGCCTTCCACACTAAACACACAGAGAGCACATATACAGACACTACCGCCTTCCACACTAAACACACAGACAGCACATACACAGACACTACCGCCTTCCACACTAAACACACAGACAGCACATACACAGACACTACCGCCTTCCACACTAAACACACAGACAGCACATACACAGACACTACCGCTGCCCACACTAAACACACAGACAGCACATACACAGACACTACCGCCTTCCACACTAAACACACAGACAGCACATACACAGACACTACCGCCTTCCACACTAAACACACAGACAGCACATACACAGACACTACCGCCTTCCACACTAAACACACAGACAGCACATACACAGACACTACCGCCTTCCACACTAAACACACAGACACTACGCACACAGACACTACGCACACAGACACTGTGCACAGACACCCATTATGCAGCGTGATGTCAAGACGGATGACTGCGTAGCAGTGTGCACACAAGCCAGCATCGGACAGCAGCAGCAGCAGCAGCCAGCAAAGCTGGAGTAAAACATCGGACATCGTGGCCGAACAACACTTTGGAACAACCCGGAAACACAGAGATAGCAGTACAACAGCAGTACCACCGTGAAAACCTGCGTAGTTGTAAATAATCATCTCTCGAACGTACAATTTCAATGCGTGTCGCACTCATTGCACACAAAGTGATTGCCACAAATGAACCACAACACCTTACTCATCTCGTAAAGGAGCAAAAACCATAATCACACGAACTCCGGTCATCCTCGAAGCGGCTTTTGGCTGGCTATCGAACGAAGACGGTCACTGCATCGCGCGCTTTCAAATGAGCTTCTGTGGCCGTCTGGAACGCTCTTCCTTCCGATATTAGGAAGCCGCTGGAGCTACGCACTTTTAAATATAAATTGAAAGCTCATTTCTTTCAAAATACTTGTTGTGTTTAGTTTTGATTTAAAGCTTTCGTGACTGCAGGGATTCATATTCTTGGTTCTTTCAGTAAAGTCACGTAGAAGGGAAACAATAAAATAATAAAAATATTAGTTTGTTGTCTTTTCCCCATGCCTCCGAATCGCACAGTTGGCTGCATACGGTGCGAAAGAAGTTCAACATACATACACATACATACATTCCACTGGGAACGGTAACCGATTCCTGCCTTTCAGAGCCGACAAATGATTATGACAAATGGTTACCGGTTTACCAGTGTACCGATTAACAACCCTAACAAGGACCACATGTCTGTAGCTGGCTGTGAATTCAACTCAAAGAGTGCAGGGAAATCTTCCACAACTCGTATGGCCCACTATGTGATCACAAACTGGGCACATTACATTTCACCCAAACCACGTTGCCTAATGAATGAATGCAACTGTAGTTCTATACTTCTACATTGTGGCTTGGTGAAGACTGGGAGCAGACTGGGAGCAGTCTTCGCCAACCCGCACTGCACACACGTGGTCAAGAATTTGTACTGACCCACTAACTGTGGGAGGCCTTCCTCCGGCAATGGATTGGCAAAGGGCTGTGCGTGGACACTGCCTGCAACCCAGATCTCCCTTGCAAAAATAGTTCAGTCCCAGTGGATTCTCTCCTGAGGCCCGAGTATACAAAATGTATGTAAAATCCGAAAGGCAGCAATTGGGGTAGGCTCCGACACTGCATAGGTGAAAATGAAGAGGATTTATGCGCAGCCTCACGAGACCGTAACGCTGGGCACGTGGCAGTTAGACCGTTTGGGATTACGTCATCACTCCCACTCCACCAGCCAATCAACTGCCAGGAAAAAAAAGTTGCCATGCAACATGGTCGCCGTGACGTCACTGGTCCATGCGGTAAGCCATACATTTATGTAATTAATGCGTTTTAACATGATGTGAGCGTGATTACGTGAATTTAGTTGTGCGGGCACGTGAGAACGCGCGTGTACAATTGTTCGAGTGCGTTACTTTGGGTGGGACGGACTTTATGTCAGCGTGTTCGAGAGAGTTTTTGTGTTTGTGTCCATTTTGTATCAATCATGTGCATGCCAGCCTCAACAGGTGCTTACTCACAGTTTTGTTACGAGGCAATGTAACAGCGCGTGCCCTGTGCGGGCAGAGTATTTGGGATGCGATTCGTGCACACGTGTTTTTGCGTGAGAGAGTATGTGAGAGTGTGTGGCTGCGTGCATGCGTCTCTGCATTTGTATTTGTGGTGGCCAGGCGAGGTGCATTCTGGTGTGGGGAGGACGAGTGTAAGCGGTTCGCGCACTGCGCTACAAACCCAGAAACCCGAGGTCAATTCCCGCTCACAGCCAACACCAGTGACGATTATAATGATCTCATCCGGTCCTGGGCCTCCCCTAGGTAGACTCAGCCTCAAATAAGTACTTGGTGTGACGTTTAAACATCGGCACTTGGGACACCAAAGGCGGCCGAGCGTGGTGCTGGCCACCCATCCCCTCAAGTGCCGTGGCCGAGTTTCTTCGGAGCTCGCTAACAGCACTTGCCCCCAAGGTGTGTTAAGGCCATAGCGTGTGTCTGCTTGTGAGAGCACGTGTGTGTGTGTGTAGAATATGAGCAATTTCTTTATCGCAAGTCCCGTGTGGAACCGCAGTTAGGACTAAACAAGAATTCCTTAAATCTATCATTACTCAGGCCGTTGATAATAAAGCTCATGTACATACTCGTACAGATGTGTGTAGTTGTGCGTGCAGAATCAGAATCTTTAAATATGCTGGAGGAGTTCGATGAGCTATAAAGCATTTTTTACACAGATGCTCAGTCGGGGCAGGTCAGTAACGTTACAACAACAAACACAACAAACACAAGGATTGCAAATTAAAGGCAAGCAGTGGGTGCAGCAGGGGGTGCAGCAGTGAGCGAACCAGGGGGTGCAGCAGTTGGCGCAGCAGGGGGTGCAGCAGTTTGCGGAGCAGGTGGGACAGCAGTGTGGGCAGCAGGTGGTGCAGCAGTGTGTGCAGCAGTGTTCGCAGCAGTGGGTGAAGGCGGTCGCACCTTGGGCGGGGATATGAGCTGGTTCTGCCGGAGTGGCGTGAGGGGCTTGAGGTAGCGAGGGCTTGGCCGGGACCCCACGGGGGACCCCTCCGCTGCCCCCCACTCTGTGGAACGTGGTTATGGGGGGGGGGGGCACAAGGGACATGGCAGTGGGAAGGAAGTTACATTAATAATGCAACGCGCGCACCGCCACTTACGCGGAGCCGTGAATCCATTATACGCTCTACATGAGTCCATTACACACAACTGCAGAGATCCCTCACGTAGCCTCCACAGACTGTCGGGGGCAAGTGTTGTTAGCGAGTGCACGCGAAGGCCGGCTCGGGTGGGTGGCCAGCACCACGCCCGCCGGTTCTATCTCCCCAGTGCTGACGTTCAAGCATCGCACCGGGAATTCATTGACAACTAGAAACGAAACGACTTTTATTTCACCAGGTAAGCTCCACCGACATTTTCAGAAGTCACCTGGCCACACTTGATTGCTCAATGGAATGGCTTATCATGCGCATATTCATAGCATCGAAATACTTCCAAATCCAAATTCATGCTTCTAAATGTGGAGGGAAAAACCGGAAGACCCAGGATAAATCCACACGACCATAGGGAGAACATGCAAACTCTAAATATACCGGTGCCAGGGTTGAGATCGAATCCACGACCTCTTGCATGCGAGGCGAGGGTTGTTAACATCTCACCACCGTGGCGCTCTGAGTAGACCTGGTGCAGGTTCAGGACTGATAGAGACATTCGCCACCGATGTTGGCCTTGAGCGGGAATCGAACTCTGGTCGCTTTAGGCAGGTTCAGGACATGTGTGGATATGCAGCAGTGATGATGATGATTGTGGCCCGATCGCTGAGTTTGTAGCGCAGTGTGCTAACCGCTGTGCCACCGTTCCCCACAAATTGCACCATTACGCAGCACTCTACAAACAACGCTGTTTGTTCGGCCACCAACCTGCACTGACAAACACACGGCCTGTGGCTCAATGCGTGTCGGTGAAGAAGAGGCGCACAGACGTGACAGCAGAGCATTATAGGCCCTCTGCACTCCATGTCTCCGTAGCCGCAAGCGCTTGGAGGAGGCCGAGAGGTCACCCACAGGCCTTGCGAACACGTGTCACACATCGACCGTTGCTGTCGAGGCTCCGGGATAGAGGGAAGAGGGCGCTAACTTGGGAGCGTGCCCGGAGAGACGCTAGGGGGGGGGTTCACGCTGGAGGGTGGGTGTTGGCTGCTAAGCGCGCTGTCACACCATACGTGCCCGCACTCGCTCGATCACGTGTGCACCGCGTGTGCTGCATGCGGCGCACACAGGATCAGGGCAATGGAGAATGTGCTACATCCTGTGCACTGCAAGCACCGCGGTGGTGAGACGTTAACTCCCTCGCCTGGCATTCAGAGGGTCGTGGACTTTTCGACGGGTCCTCCGGTTTATTCCCTCCATATTTAGAAACATGCGTTTTTGGAGCATTCGGCTGCGATAAATTTCCACGTGACAAGCCACATCATCGGGCTATCATTTGTGGCCAGGTCGCTTCTCAAAAAGAGAGCTAACGCAGCTCAGCGAGGCCTTACCCCGGAAAAATAAAGAAGATAAAAGTTCCGTTTAAAGCTGCCGGCGACGATGCGCGCGGCGCGTCCTGTCCACTGCGGGCGCTGGGTGTGTGCTCGCCTGACAACTGGCTGCGGGCTGCGCTGGGTGTGCCCAGCGGACGCCGCTGTACCTTGTCCCATGTGGGGGGTGGACGTGCGGGCGGAGGCAGCGTTCTGCGGCGGCGACAGCTCCTGGCAGCTGCGTCGCATTGCTGACGAGAGCTCCAGGGTGCTGCCGGGGAATCGCTGATGGGGAAGGTAGAAAGGAGGGTACAAGGTGTGGCCACGCAATTCATTGACGGAGGGGCCCCTCCGCTAGGGGGAACCCCGAAAGGGTGCTTGGTCTACTCTTCCACGTTGACCACCACAGGCGACCTGTCAAACGGCTGAGCTCTGACGTAGCCGTTAACGTTGCGGGCTTGGACCGAGGGTACGGGAGGAGTGAGTTTGAGAAATGTGACCCTCCTTGTTTCAAAAACTTCACAAGAGAGCACCTTCATGTATTCACGTTCACGTGCGCACACACAAGTACAACGAAAACTCAACCAACAGCACTGTGATTAACAAAGTTTTTTGGGGTTAGATCTCGTCAATGTAACTGTTTCGCTAGCCCACCACCACTACCCGACACATTCAACTAGTAAGGTTTGGTCAAGTGACAAACCTGACTCATCGGCTGTGTCTCGTGGTGGTGGGTTAACGACACTTGGATTGCGAGCACAATTCGTTCTGGAAACGTGTTTGTAATCCAAAGCACTCGTATATCAAAGCGCTCGTATATCAGTTGTGATCACGTGACGCTCGGCAGACAAAGCGTATACGTGCTACTCGTATTGCAAGACCTCGCTCGTTCATCAAATTCATATTTATTTTAAGAAATTTCTCGTCTTGCAAAACACTCGCAGACCAAGTTACTCACAATCCAAGGTTTTACTGTATATCCGCGATCTAACCCAAAAACCTTTTTGATTTAAAGCTTTCGTGACTGCAGTGATTCATATTCTTGGTTCTTTCGGTAAAGTCACGTTGAAGGGAAACAATAAAATAATGAAATATATATAAAACAATAAAATTCTCACGACGTTTCGACTGCAACACAAGCAGTCATCATCAGGTTTGAAAACCAACAGCAAGAACATTTGAAAGAAGTGGCGGTTTGTATTTATTTTTAAACGTTAGCGCCACGGATAGCGATTTGACAGTTTGTTTAGATGGACGAGTCCATCTATGTTCGGAAAAGAAGAGGGGGGAGACGAAAAATTAATGTATGCTGTCTGAAAGCCACCGTAAGCGTGAACAATCAATTAAGACCAGAAATGGTTTATCAAATCCTTCCAATGATTGCTAAGCCAGAATCCATCTTCTCGGTTGAAATTGTCTCTGTGTTTGTATATGTGGATAACCTCATGAATGAATCTCTCATGGTAGCCAGATGGCTTGTTTCCCTTCAACATGGCTTTACCGAAAGAACCAAGAATACCAAAAACCTTTATGATGAATATTTGTCGTGAAAGCCCACGTGTTAAACAGCACTGTGGCCAAAAGAGGAAAAGGCATAACAACAGGTGATGTTCCGGGTATTGGGCCTTCTTCAGAGCACGTACAATGAGAAAATAAAATTAAAAAGCTGACGAGTGCACAAAGGAGCATGGAGAGATGATGCGTGCCTTGATTTACGCTGAGACACGGAGAGAGGAACACACACGGACTATTACACACGGAGAGTGGATTGTTTTTTCATTCATTTAATCTGTAAGGGACATTTCCCAACCGATCTTCATGTAATGGAGTGAGCAACGTGGAGCTTCAACCACCATAAGACAAGCCGAAGTGAATTATTAATGTCATGTAATTACCCATTACTTTGACCGATAGCAGCTTTGACATTTGGCCATGGCACGCATTAGTGATGCGTCCGTGTTTTTCAGTGTAACAGAACGGCAAGTAGGACTCGTTTAGCTGGGACGCAAAGCCCTTTGTAGAGACACTGCACAATGAGCTGGAGTCACTCTGGGCCTCTGTATAGTCAGATCCTGTCCAGACGTTTACGCACACACAGGGACCTCTTTCGTCTCACAGACTGCACGGGGACTGCGCTGTTGGCGGGAGCCTTGCAAGCGTCGCAAGAAACGTTCAAAGTCATACAAAATATAAAGACGTATCCGCGAACAAGCACCCGCTACCGCAATTCATGCGCAAATATAACCTTTTATTGAATGCTTAATTTATTTAAAATTTCACGAATATTTTTGCCAAGTATTTCACTCATCATGCTATCAGGGGCGGAGAAGCGACGTGCAGTGGTTTGTGCACTACACTGTAATCCCAGCGACCCCTTTGCTATGAGTCACTGTGTTAAGTAATTAAAACCACTTATCAGGGTATGTAAACGCTCGCCATCTTGTTTGGAGTAGAGGAGGCCTACTGAGGTGAGGTAGAAGTAATCACGTGCTATCATCTGCAGGCATCTGTCCCTGAAATACTTTCAACTAAACTATGAACTCAACTGTCTTTAATTTCACCCAGGTAAGACCCACTGAGCTGTATAGCTTTTTTTCAGGAGCGATCTGGCTATACGAATGATAGCTCAACGAAGTGGCTCATCGTGTGGAAGTTTAGAGCAGCCGAACACTCCAAACGCCACGTTGATTCCAAACGTCGAGGGAAAAAAAACGGAAGACCCTGGAGAAAAATCCACACGACCACAGGGAGAACATGCAAACTCCAAATATACAGGCGTCAAGGGTCGGGATCGAACCCACGACCTCCTGCATACCAGGTGAGGGAATTAACATTCATAACTGGCGGCGCCCCCCTTTGATTCCCTGAGGACTAAACCACATTTATGTGAACCATGATGCGACAACAATAACACAATGTGGATATGACTGGCACTAAAATGCAACACTTGCAATGCATATTATTATAAGTAGTGAGTTTAAACACAGAAGAATTTCTAACCTGTGTATTAAAGTGCGGCAGAATTGTTAGACTGTAAAATGAGACTGAGTTGAGTAAAAACAACCGCCCAGATTGAGCTGTCATCACCGAGCGTGAAGCTACGACTGGACGCAGACGTTCATGAATGATGCTCAACTTGACCCGACATAGAAAGCCATGCCGTGCTGATTAGTAATGATTTTTTTTAAACGTTTTTCACTTCCCGTCAGAATGCCAAATCGCAGACGCTACTTCACATTCACGAGTTCCGAGAATGAGCGACGCAGGCCACGTCGGGCCGATGTGGGTCTAGTCCATCACAGATGCGCATTGATCACACGTTGACCTAGAGATGTTTCTCTCCATCCGCAAGTGGTGCCTCACAACCCGCGCACACACTAATCCACGGGAGGAGACCCGTCTCGCTCTCAACACCGTCACAGACATCAACCGCCAAGGCACACCTTGACGCGTTCGCTACCCACAGTTCCCGAACGATAGCTGCAATGTTAACTTGAGCATTCAGCTCACGGCAAAAATTCGCAATGTTAAACCCTAACACTTACTTCTTGCGCTAAAACATAATCCCAACGTGGATTCATGTCCTGATCTTTATGTTATGCCTAACCGTATTCCTATAGCCCCTTCTGTCAATCCACTGCTGGATGAGGCACTCCCCACATCGTGCCAGTCGTGGGGGGGTTGTTTGACCATACTTCACCAAGTCTGATGGCTGGGAAATAAACTAATGTCGCTCAGTTCATCATGAAGTGCACTGACCACCGCGCCACCACTCCCCCAACAACGATCTAAGCTAATTAATAATGCTCATGTTGGCCTCGTCGCTATGCTTACTAAATCATTAACACGAACGTTAAACCAAACACTCGTGCTCAACAAAAATCTTAACCTAAACCAAACGCTTATCCTCGAATTCTCGCTATCCTAAACGATACACATAATCTTCTTAGTTCTTTCGGTAAAGGCAAGTAGAATTGAAATAAAATAATAAAAATAAAACATAAAATAAAAATTCTCACGATGTTTCGACCACAACACAAGTAGCCTTCCTCAGGTAAAGAGACATTGAAGACTTGGTTCATCAAGGAATGCATACTGATGTACCCCGCCTGGTGAGACACTGCTTAACCAACACATACTTCACCTGGAATGGGACTTTCTACAAACAAACTGAGGGCACCCCAATGCCCCCCCCCCCATCTCCGGTTGTAGCCAACGTTTTCATGAAAAAATTTGAGACTGACGCCATCCAGACTGCCACTCTACGCCCGACCTGATGGAAGAGGTACGTGGATGACACTTTTGTCATCTGGTCACATGGCCGTCCGCTCTAGACAAATTCCTCGACCACATCAATTCCATACACCCAGCCATCAGATTTACCATAGAAGTAGAAAAAGATGGCAAGCTAGCCTTTTTGGATGTCCTAATTAAAAGGAGACCTGATGGTTCAATGAGCCACTCTGTCTACAGGAAAGCTACCCATACGGATGCTTACTTAAAACCGGATTCCCACCACCATCCATCCCAGAAGAATTCCCTCATCAAGACTCTATACCATAGAGCCCAATGCATCTCCGACCAGGAACACATTACCAGTGAACTCAAGCACGTACACCAAGCTCTCAAGGCTAATGGTTACTCCAACAATCCGCAAAGCCATCACTCCAACCATGAAAAAGGATCCTCTTGAGGAGCCATTCAAAACCATCACCTTACCCTACATTACGGGGGTCACAAAAAAGATCTCCAAAATCCTGAATAAACACAAGATCCAGATTCGATTCTACACAGTACATAAAATCCGTGATCTGGTTCCGTTGGTAAAAGATGTGGTTCCAAACATACAGTACCCGGGCGTCTACAAACTAAGTTGCCTCTGTGGTAGCAGCTATATTTGAGAACCAAACGACATATCTCGGACCGCATCCGAGAACATAAAGCAGACTTGAAACACGGTAGGATGAACACCTCAGCCGTGGCAGATCACTGTTATAATTCAGTGGGCTCACATGACATTGACTTCTCCAAGACGGAGGTTCTCTGCAAGCCATCCGGCTACCATTAGAGATTCGTTCATGAGGCCATCCACATATACATATACAAACACAGAGACAATTTCAACCGAGAAGATGGATTCTGGCTTAGTAACCATTGGAAAGACGTTATAAACCATTTCTGTTCTTGATTGTTATTTTACGGTGACTTTCAGACCGCAGTCCATTTGCTGGCACTGCCTCTTAGTACCTTTCACACGACGGTCAATGGTATGGTTTATAGCATGTTGTATAATAATACAATAATATAACAGTGTAATGTTTAACATAATTCATAAGGCAATATATAGTATCGTAATTGTATAGTGAAGATACAGCAGTGTGGTACACAGTAGGGTTGGTAGAATAATACATAGTGTAATATTACAAGTCTAATATTTTATAGTCTAAAGTATAGGGTAGTGTATAGTAACGCATTGTATAATTCAAGGGTGGGGTTTGTCTATGGCAGTGTATATTAAGGTGTATAGTCGTGTAATTTAGAAAAAAAGTTTAGTTTGAGGCATATCAATATAATGCATAATGTTAGGGCTGTGTATACGATATACGATATTATACAATGTAGTTTAGATTGGAAGGTATAATATTTTAACGTATAGTAGTCTAGTTTGTAGCATAGTAGTAACGCAACACAGGACAGAGCAGCGCATCGTTGCTGTTTCTTCTCTCCCCCCTCCTCCGTTCCAAGCATAGATGGACTCGTCCGTCTTAACAAAGCTCGTCGCTTTCCGTGGTGCTAACCACAGTGGTGCTAACGTTGCAAAGAAAAAAGAAACCGCCACTTTTTTCCGACATAGTTACATGCTAATCCCTCACACTAACATCATGCTAATCCCCCAGTTACATGCTAATTTCTGACTTTAACATCATGCTAATCCAACACATTAACACAGCTACTTCAATGCTAAATTATTCTGTTGATAAGTAAACTCCTTGGTCAAGGCGCTCTGCTCCTCCCACCCAGCTTAAAAGACGTGGCCAAAGCTTGGATGTGTTCACTGAAGCGCTGTCTTCCCGACAGTTCTGTATCTTCACCTGAGGAAGGCTACTTGTGTTGTGGCCGAAATGTCGTGATAATTTTTATTTTATTATGTTTTATTTTAATTATTTTATTTCAATTCTACGAGACTTTATTGAAAGAACCAAGAAGATGAATCCCTGCAGTCACAAAAGCTTTAAATCGGAAGATACACAATATTTATGCCAAAGTTATTTTGGCATAAATGGGCACCACGGTGGCGAGATGTTACCTCCCTCGCCTGGTTATGCAAAGGTCGTGAGTTCGATCCCGACCCTGATGCCTGCTGTATATTTGGAGTTTGCGTGTCTCTCTCCCCGTGGTCGCGTGGATTTTTCTCCGGTTTTTCCTTCCACATTTAGAATCAACGTGCATTTTGAGAATGTGGCTGCCGTAAATTTCCACATGATCAGCCACTTAGTTGAGCTATCAATGGTCGCAGGTAGCTTCTGAAAAAAGAGCAATGAAGCTCAGTGGGTTTTACCTGGTAATATAAAAATATTAATAGTTCCACATTTTTATTTCTGACCTTATAATTAATCGAAAGTTCCACGCAATTAACACAAGTGTTTAACTTAACAGAATCCCCAACGCTAATTTAAATGTTAAACCAGGGTTGTTGAGTGACGATAAATCGGTGTCTTTGTTCAGAAAGTCAGCAAAAGTCAGGGACCAGGAATCGCTTTCAGTACCCTGTCGCCCCTCAGTACCATCTATGGCTGTCATAGGCAGGGGCGTATGCACAATCCGCATACGCCCCTGCCATCTAGATCATTCCATTCAGGTCACCGCTACATAAGCTCCGTCAGGTGCCGCGAGTGAAAGAGCTCTACAAACATAAATTAGATTAGTTTAACACGTAGGCTTTCGCGACCAATATTATTCATAATAAATGTTTTTTGGGTTAGATCGCGTTTATTTATAAATGTGTCGTAACCCTCCACCACCCGACATGGCCAATCAGCAAAAAAAGTGTCCCGTTTACAAAAGACAAATAATTCACTACTTTAGCCCACCGGTGTGTTGAAAAAACTGTAAATGTGGATTCACTCTTCAACACACCGGTGGGCTAAAGTAGTGAATTATTTGTCTTTTGTCAACGTGACACTTTTTTTGCTGATTGGCCATGTCGGGTGGTGGAAGGTTACGACACATTTATAAATAAACGCGATCTAACCCAAAAACCTTTATTATGAATAAATTAGATTAGCAGAATTTTAGTACGAAACGCATCGATTGGCACGCGCGAGCGTGCTAACCGCACGGCGGCGTCCACCTTGAGCAAAGTGTAACGGCGCAGCCCTGCAATTTACTCACTCACGCCACCGCTGGCGGAAGGGTCTCCTCCCTCTAGATGGAGCTCTGGAGGTCACTGTTTTTTGCCTACTCTTTCACACTGACCAGAGGTGGGCGTACCCCACAGTTTAACCCCACATGCGCGACCTGCTGGCCCAACTGTGGCGTAAGAAGCGTACCCATCGATTCAACTGCTGCGCCGGCAAAAGGCGGAATTGAACCGGCGACCAACAGATCGCAAGTTTAGCGTGCTAACCGTTACACAACACCAGCTGCCTTCGTTGCTCAGTTAAAAAGTTAGAACAAGTTATGTTTATTGCTCTCGACATTCACACGTGTGCGGCAAACCGGTAACCAGTCATCGGTGTGATTGTTTTCTTAATTGCCCCACACTAAACTCAGTGCATTTCACGCTCGATGATCCATGGGCAGATTATTTGGGTTAGGGATTCACCACGCGCACGAAGCAAGGACTAATTTTGACAAACGTTGGTCAAGAACGATCGGCTGCTCACTCGTCGGGAGTCAGCGACCCAGCGCCCACTCGACCACAAACATCTGCAAAGTCAAGAACAACGCGAGGTTGTTGAATTATGTCCTCAATGTGCAATAACTTAATGTACATAACTTAACTTGATTTACGTAAAAAATGGTGTTTTCTACTTTACCGTGTAGAAGAACGATCAGGTTTTACATTTTCACCCCGTTCTACCAAAGTAAACCATAAATATATCCCAATTCATGACTGTGTTTTGTGTTATCCGTGTTTTTTCATAATGAAGGTTTTTGGGTTAGATCGCGTTATTTATAAATGTGTCGTAACCCTCCTCCACCTGACACGGCCAATCAGCAAAAAGACAAAAGACAATTAGTTCACTACTTTAGCCCACCGGTGTGTTGAAGAGTGAATCCACAACATTTACAGTTTGAGTACGACGTTTCGCTGGTAATTACATCCAGCATCATCGGGCAATTCGCACACTGATGCCTATCTGAATGCAGATTCGCATCATCATCCAGCTCAGAAATCCTCTCTTATCAAGACGCTCATACATCGGGCTAAAACAGTGTCAGATGGTGAAAGTCTAGTGAGAGAGATCAAACACGTTAAAGACGCACTACGACAGAATGGCTACAATAATGCTCAAATTAACAGAGCACTGAATGCCAAATCACGATCGCAAAGCAATACTGCTGAAAGCGATCAGATTGTTAAAACAATAAAAATTCCATATATCTCAGAAGTAACTGACAAATAAGCCCGTGTTTTGCAAAAGCAAAACATTACAGTAAGATTTGGTACAGTACACAAAATTCAAAAACTAGTATCTTGCACTAAATACGCATTACCTAAATTATTAACAGAAGGTGTATATCGGATTAATTGTTTATGTGGCAGATGCTATATTGGACAGACGGGACGTAACATCAGCGTAAGACTAAAATAACATCAAATAAATATTAAATTATCTCAAACACAACTGTCGGCAGTGGCAGAACATGCTTGTCAACAAGGACACTCAATTGATTTTGATAACGTTGAAGTGTTGTGTAAAACTAATTATTATTGGCAAAGACTAATTAGAGAATCCATTGAAATTGAGAGGAATAAAAAAAAATAACTTTAATCGCTCTGACAGCTACAGGCTTAGGGCGGCCTGGAAGCGTATTATTAAATAATACATATTACAATTCCTTATAGGGGAAACACATACTAATTAACGGATTACTAACATAGCATATAATCACTAACACACATTACAACTAATTACTAATCTACAACTCATTAGTAATCATAACCATTGACTGATTACTAATCGATTATATAATTACAATACTTCCCCCCCCCTCCACCTCAAATCACTGCACCTGAAATGAGTTAAATGATGACATCACCCTGCTGCTCTATTTAAGACCGGGAGCAAGCAAGGGCTTTACCATTCTGGCGAATTGCCCGATGATGCTGGATGTAATTACCAGCGAAACGTCACTCAAACTGTAAATGTTGTGGATTCGCTCTTCAACACACCGGTGGGCTAAAGTAGTGAATTATTTGTCTTTTGTCAACGTGACACTTTTTTTTGCTGATTGGCCGTGTCGGGTGGTGGAGGGTTACGACACATTTATAAATAACGCGATCTAACCCAAAAACCTTTATTATGAATAATATTGGTCGCGAAAGCCTACGTGTTAAACTATCCGTGTTTTGTTTGATCTGGGCCACGCCTCCGTATCACTACCCCAGAAGATTCAAAATTGACCGTATTTTTATTCATATGAAGCAGACAGAATCCTCGGATTCTTCGGGAAGATGCCCTGGTGAAGCACTCTATGTATGCAAGTGGAACTTCTTTCGCACCGTACGTAGCCAACCGTGCCAATCGGAGGTGCGGGGGAAGGACAGCAAACTGAACACAAAAAGAAGTCCCAAAGAAATGAGTTTTCGGTCTAGATTTAAAAGTGCACAACTCCAGTGGCTTCCTCATATCGGAAGGAAGAGCATTCCAGGCGGCCGCAGAAGCGCATCTGAAAGCGGGCGATGCCGTGACCGTCTTTGTTCGATGGCCATCCAGAAGCCACTGCTGCTGCCTTGGACATTGGATAACATGGAACAAAAGCTTATTATTCTGTTGACGGTGCATGTGTTATTGTTAAGGATAACCGGTGATAAGAATAACCGGTGACTGTTCCGCCACTTCTGGGTTATGACTCTTACCTGTGCTAGAGCACGCATATTAGAATGACAAACGTAATTCAACCACTGTAGCAGCGGTGGCCAACGGAGGATGACTGGAGTTCCCGTGATGATGGTTTATGCCCCTGTCGACGACGTGATTCACGAGGGGATGGCTCTCACCTTACTGTCTTCATCCTCGTAGCCACTGCTCAGGTCCAGACGGCTCCCAGAGAGCTAAACGCACGCACACACGGAATGCGATGGTGAAGCATTATTGTTCCTATTCTATTGTGTCTGTGTATATAGCTGCATGTGCACGTACATTCCCCCCGTACTACTGGGATCTGAAGTAGGGGGGCATGGGGTGCCATGGTGGTGAGATGTTAAATACCTCCCCTGATATACAAGAGGTGGTAGGTTCGATCCCGACCCCGACATATTTTGAGTTTGCGTGTTCTCCCCGTCCTCTGGTTTTCCCCTCCACATTTAGAAACGTGCATTTAGAGTATTTGGCCCGTATACATTTCCACGTGATAAGCCACTTCGTTGAGATTTAGCATAGACATTTACTGAACAATAACCATGGACGATGCTAGGATGGTGGTGCTGCACTGCACCACAAAATGTCCCTCAAGTTCACTTTCCTTAGTGGTGAATCACTGCTATGGCCCCCTCTTAACAGCTATCCTGCCCGCCCCCCACATCCGCGAGGGGTTGCAGCCAGGCCTGGATAGAGCCCTTTACCTTTGACCATATCACATGGAAAGCACCCATCTCCGAAGCTAAGCAGGCTTGAGCCTGGATCGTGTTTGCAAGGACAACCACTGGGCATAAAATTGGATTAATATCACAGGCTGCTGCTGCTGCTATCCCAGGGCTACTTCGTGGGCAGCCGAGGGCAGTGCTGCAAAATCCATTGCTGAACTGTACTATGCTCCCACCGTCATCCTTGCTTCCTGCCTTTGCCAAGCCGCAATGACCGGTGTGGAGAAGCGTTGAAAAGTAACCCTCACGGACCCCACAGGTGATCTTCATCCAGCAGAATGAAAAAAAAAAATGGTGTACCTGTGTTTGTGTGTCTGTAGCGGAATTGTCGTGTGTTAGTGCAATGCGCTACGAACCCGGTGACCCGAGTTTGGCTCCCACTCACGGCCAACATCAGTGACGATTATCTGGACCAGTTCTGGGCCTTCCCCCTAGGTCGATTCAGTCTCAAATGAGTACCTGGTGCGGTGTGTAAACATCGCCTCTCGGGAGGCAAAGGCGACCGGGCGAGGTGCTGACCCACCAACCCGATCATATGCCGTGCCGGTCCTCATAGGTGCTACTCGCTAACAAACCCTTGCCCAAACAGTCTGGTAAGGCTATACCGGGGATCTTTTGTCTTTGCACAAGTGTGTATACGTGGGTGTGTAAGTGTGCGAGTACTCTGTGCGTGCGAGTTACCGCGTGCACGTTCGGGGTACTGCAGCTCTTGCGAACGTGCTTCCCCTTGGCTGTCAGACACTCCATCAGAGCCACCTCCTACACACGAACACACACGTGCACCCGCACGACGACATCGTCATCAGCGCTCACCGCTGAGCTCCAACGCTCTCGGCAAGCACCCGTCCTCGCCCACGACTGCTCAACACCGCGCGTCGGCCCGCTTCGAGCGATGCCCCGTCGCTGTCGGCGCCGCCGGTGGCCGCGCGTTGCGGCGCGGCGTGCGAGTGAGCGGTGCGCCGCGCGCCTGTCTCAGCCGCTCCATGTTGAGCAGGTTTCCGAGCGCCAGGATGCGCCGCGTGTACTTGTCCATGTAGCTCTCTCCGTCCTCGCCGCCCTCGCCCCGCGCGGCCAGGAGAGCGAGCGCCGCGCCGTCCTCCCACTGCTCCGACGCCTACGCAGCAGCAGCGGCGGCGGCGGCGGCGGTGGCGGCAGCAGCAGCGGTGGCGGCAGCAGCAGAATGAACACGATCAGCATAAAGCGGAACCAATCGATGCATGGCATTAACACACAATCAACACATTCAACAATGTAAACATTACCAACACCGTCACGGGCAGCATTAACGGCAACACCGTCAACACCGTGAATACCAACCACTTAAACATAAACAACACCTACACCACCACCACCAAATAAAATGACAAAGATCCCCCGTGTGGCCTGAACAGATTGTCGGGGCAAGTGCCATTAACGAGCAGCAACTATGAAGGCCGGGACAGCACACGAGGGAGTGTGTGGCCAGCACCACACCCGGTCGCCTTTGTCTCCCCTGTGGCGATGTTTACACACTGCACCAGGTACTCATCTGAGGTTGAGTCGACCTAGGGGAGGCCCAGGACCGGTTCAGATAATCGTCACTGGTGTTGACCGTGAGCGGGAATCGAACTCGGGTTGCCGGGTTTGGAGCGCAGCGTGCTCACCGCTACTACACTACCGCTCCCCACACTCCAGCACCAGGAACACAAACATCAGTACTGTGCACGTTAAGACTTTGATCTCGGGTCACCCCCTTTCAGTGCCCACCGTTCCTATCGAATCGTGCTGTGATACCGATCGCCCTGTTATCCGCACGTACACTCTTCCAGTTGTCAGCACTGTTGCATCGATAAGAAGTCACCTAAAATTAACTGCAAAAACATCCAATAATCCGCCCTTATCTGTGGATTTGACATGGCCTGAAACTAGTGGACAACCTGTAACAGACGAAAAGTACCAATGAGTTCTGTCAAGGGCCAAGTGTATATATGTATAAGTGTATCTATATTGACAGTTTCAGGCACAGCACAGGAGACATTCATCATTCTTTGCTACTACTGTGATAGCGCGTTCTACGTTAGGCCCCTTCGACAGAGCCGCATGTGGTGGATTAAAGGGACGCATGCTGCTCAAGAGAGGCCAGTTGGCCACGGGTGCTACAGTGGTTGAATTGCGAACATCATTCCATTATCCGTGCTCTAGCACAGGTGTAGTGTAATAGCGCCGGCTGGTGACCAGCACCCGCAACTGCGGTGGACAAACAGTACACACGCCGGTGTGTCGGCAGGGCGGAAGAACTGGGGTAAGGGTCACGGAGGGCCCCATCTGGAAGCCCCTGGAACCTGCTGGTGGGTTCGAGAAGGGAGGCGCGGCCAGGGCGGAGCCAGGCCGCGCTGGTAGGATAAAAGGGGCCGAGAGCGGGGAGCTCGAGGCTGCCGTTGTGGGAACTGGATCGTCGCTGTTGTCGCTGTCATCTCGTCGCCATCGTCACTGCCATCTTCGCTCGACATCGCGCTGATAGGTAAGCCTGTCAAATGTCTTGGTCAGCGCCGCCGATGCTAGACGGTTAGTGTTCTGTCATAGGCTAGCGAGCACGGAGTGCGTGCAGGCGAGATCGTGTGTGTTAAGAAAAGAAGGTGCCTCTACAAATATCGTCTCCGAAGTCACTGCGCTACACAGGTAAGAGTAGTAACCCAGAAGTGTTGGAACATTCACCCGTTATCCTCAACCACCAACAAAACCACAAACACCGTCAACAGAATAATAATAATAAAAACACATATCTCCACGCTTCTTTGCGCACTTTCAGGCTTTTGTTCCATTTTATCTTACGTCCATTCTTGTGATCCACAAGTAAGAGCAGGTATCATCCACTGACGAAGCGAAACAAATCATACTTGCCACATTAGGTTGACATCAGAGTTCAGAGGTCGCCGTCGGTTTGTTCTGCCGGGGGGCGGGAGTTGAAAGAATGTTCGAAAAGCCTCCCCTGCCGCCACCGTCCACCCAAGAACACAAACGGCCAACCGCCACAGGTAGTCCCAAACGACAGGCCGCGTGTGGTGGGGGTAAAGTGTGGGTGACTCCCACCTCTCCCCAAGATGTGTGGCCAGCAATGGAAGAGCAGACCAAAGTACCACTCTAGAGGGGCCCGCTCGAGAGCTCGCTCCAGTGGAGGCCTTTCCGCCAGGAGTGGCACGAGCGAGAGGTCACTGGGCCTGTGACTTACTCTACTCAAACGAACGCAAGGGGGCAGTGATTTGAGTGAGCAGAGGAGAGCTTGGGGGAAAAGTGGGGAGCGGGAGGCTGCACGTGCCTTGGGGATGTTGGAGACCACCTCGTAGGTAACTGCGCTGGCCTGCAGCACGGAACCCTTAAAGGACATGCGGCGCTTGAGGTATTGGCCAATGCTCTGCGGGATAGGAGAAAACACACGGCAAGCGCTCCGTGAGTTCGGCTCGGCGCAACACGGCAACACGACCCAATGGAAGAGAGCAGCAAAACAACACAATTACAGCAACACAACTTTTTCGCAATAAAGCTACACAATTCATTAAATCAACACCGCTGCAGAGAAGAATGCGGCAACACAACTCTATGCAGCAGTATAATAAAGCAATACGTACATAATAATAAGCAACACAAGGGATATCTGAAGACAATAAAACTATATTTTTTCACGAAGTAAAACATATAAATCATCATAAAATAATGTGCTAATGCACTTAATTTTTTTTAAAGACAAAACAAACACATCTCGACTGAACAGCACATTACCACGAAACCTAACCAAGACAAGACACCGCTACAATCACCACCACCCAAAAATAACATCGCTGTGAAGCCAGTTGAAGGCAAAAATACAACAGTGCAATTATTTTCAAGATACAACAAGGCTCAAAAAGAGGGCCTTTATTCCGAGCGTCCTATTCCTTTTTTGATGATGAGCGTGCGTGGGTGCATGTCAATGTGTAGTCGGGAGCAAAGTGCTATTTAGGGCACTGCGCACTACAAACCTCGTGACCCGAGTTCAATTACCGCTCAAGGCCAACATTGGTGAGGACAATCCCATACTGTCCTGGGCCTCCTCTTGGTCGACTCGGCCTTAAATTATCAGCTGGTATGTTGTGTAAACATCAGCACTGGGGAGACAGAGGTCGCTGGGCGTGGTCGTGGCCACCCACCCACCGCTCCGTGTGCCGTACCGGTCTTAAAAGGTGCCCACTAGCAGCACTTGCCCCCAGCAGCCTGTTAAGAGGCTATACGGGACCCATTTGTCTTTGTCAATGTTTATTCATGCATATCCAATGTGTAGAAGTCCGTGCCCACGCACGCACGTCTGAGCAGGCCTACGAGTGTGTACATGTCCATGTGTGTTTGTACAAATAGGTGTGCACGTGAGTTTCCATGGACGAGCGTGGTGGGTCTGCACGCGTGTGTGCTCATGTGTCGTTCTGCACATGCATTCGTGTGTGTCCGTGCATGTGCGTATCCATAAGTCCACGTACGTCTGCCCACGCGTGTGTCAATGCATTTGCATGAGAGTCTGTGCCTGTGAATTTTAAACCATATCCTTTTCCCGATTGTGCCACGTCTCAAGATGATGTATGAATGTGCAACTTCTTTCGCACCGTACGCAGCCAGCCGTGCTAATCGGGGGTGCGATGGATAATCCAGTGGGATCTCTCACACAGCAGGGCAACACTTCATGCAAAAAAATGGCCCACACAAGTGGATATCAGAGAGCTACCTCTGAGAGCCCTTCAGGTGACCTCTGGTCCACACAGTGGGCGGCACCACTATTCCACCAGGAGAGTAATGTTCGTCGCATGACAGTGAAATTGATATTTTTTTAATCTTACAATCGGAATTTTTGAAAAATTCAGTGCAAAAAACTAATTTAATGTGATGGGGCTTATTTTTGTGAGGTCATTGGTAACCGTGCCGTGATCATGTACTTGAGGACCCGGTTTCTTAACGGGAAATTGACTAGAGTCACACCTCTGATCCACCTCGTCTTTGTGAAACTGCAAATGTATCTGCACAAGTGTGTGTGTGTGTGTGCAGCGTCTCTCTCCACGTATCCGCGGGTCAGCGTGTGTGTGTGTGCGAGCCATTTGAGGAGCGGTATTGTAGCGGTTAGCTTGCTGCAATACGAGCCCGGTGCACCGAGTTCGATTCCCGCTCACGGCCAACACCAGTGACGATTATCTGAGCCGGTCATGGGCCTCCCCGAGATAGACTCAGCCTCAAATGAGTACCTGGTGCGGTGTGTAAACATCAGCGCTGGGGAGCTAAAGGTGCCTGGGAGTGGTGCTGGCCATCCACCACTTCGTGCGTCCCCGTGCCGGCCTTCATTGGTGCTCGTTAACAGCACTTGTTAAGGCTACACGGGGGATCTTTGCCTTTTGTGTGAGCCGTACCGGCTTCGCTCCAACGGTGAGGCAGATCCTCTTGCGGAGGACGACCTCCACGCTCGACGGGGCGCTCATCTGCACCGTCACCTGCGCAACAGGGACAGCATCGCAACGTGAAACGTCAGCTCAGCCAGCACCACGCACGCGTTCAATGCAGCAACCACGCCATCATAATAATAATAATAATCATTCACAGCCCTTTGTCAATCTACAGCTGGATGAAGGCCTTGTCGGTCTTAAGAGGTTTGTACGACCGAATTTCATCTCGCTTACTCGGTGACGGTTAGTGGAGGTGGAGAAGGCCCAGGACTGGTACAGACATAATTCACTGTTGCTAGCCATGTTCAGGAATCAAACTACGGTAGCCTGGTTCATACTCCACGTTATGTTGAACTTCTTTCGCACCTTACGTAGCCAACCGTGCAAATAGGAGGTGCGAGGGAAGGACAACAAACTAAACACACAAAGCAAGTTCGAAATAAATGCGCAATCGCTCCATCCAACCGCATGGGAGTCGAGGTGAAGAGCCCTGCACGAGAGGAAAACCCCGCTGTTGAGTACTCATCACGGCATGAATTTGAAACCTTCTCGAGGCCTCACCCACCGCTGGAACTCTCACCACAGACGTGCACAAGCGAGAAACCGCTGCTGACACGTGCATCGCTGCTGAGGCTATACTCTAACCAAGTGCTTGACACCACAGGTCTTTGTGAGATAATCCCAAAACCGTCAGTCACAGTACTGTGGCTGTGATGGTTATTGTGACAGTGTAGGGTCATAACTTATGGTTCTGCCACACAGGGGCACTGTATCATCTACCGTCAAATCATAATTTTTGCAAGGTATTATTATTATTCAAACTTAGCTATCCTCCTACTGTCCCCAGTCTGGAACACCTTTCCCCAGCCATCTGTGCTGCTGAGTCTCTGCCTCCATTCAAGTCCAGGTTCAAGACCTCGTCATGTCTTCTGCATGACCAATCCCTTCCTGTCTATTAAGTATCGATAATTATAAATGTCTCCGATTCCCAGGATGCCCGTGTCCCGCTGGTCTGCACAGGGACACGTGTTCGCTGTCGTGCGAGTCCACGTTGTATTTTACTGCGATGGCCACACGGTGGGAAGGCTGGGAGGGGGAGAGCTGGGAGTGCGGTTGCGGCCGCACCTTGATGATGGCGTAAACGACCTCGTTGGGAGGAGTGACGCGGTTAAGGTGCGGCGAGTCGTGCACGGACGCGTCCCATGATGCCACCACCTGCACCTGTTGTACGCACGCACAACAACAATAACAACAACGTGTGTCATTCGCCACGAAGTGGCAGTGATGTCACCACGGCGCTTGTGCCAGGCCAAGTAAAGTGTGGAACGCTCGCTGGCAGGAGGTTACAGGACAGCCGCAGGTGTCGTGGGTTGTCTGAGCAAGATCACTGGTTAATGCACCACCTGCGCTCCCAGTTGTCAACTTTCTGCGTGTACGCCGCCCGGCACTCCGCTCGTTGTTATAAGCGTTGCTCCTCTGCCCTCCATTGTTGTTGGAGGGCGACTGCCTCAAATTTCCCAGCAGCGTCCTTCACGAGGCTCCTCCACAGAGACCGATCTTGACACTGCTGGCACCAGCCTCTGACAAGTTCAATAAGCCTTAAATGCTCCCGTACATCATCAGCCTATTGCTTCTCTAGTCTATGCCATGTAGCTCTCGAGAACCGGCCAAACAGAAGCTACTTGGGCATGCGGCGGCTGGACAAGTCAACGAAATGACCTCAACAACTCGACAATCAAATAAAGAGGCCATACACATGCATACAACAACCACCATGGTGCTTGTGCCATGCAATGTGCACTTTGAGGCACGTGAAGTGTCGAAGGCTCGCTGGCAGCAGATCATGGGACAGACCCAGGTGCCATAGGTTGACTGACTGAGATGACTGGCAGATGCCCCCTTACTGTGCCTACAAACATACACACACAGACACAGGCACAACTGCATACACATTAGCAGGAACACAATCATGACAGCAAAGCACACAAGCTGCAAGGTGAACACCTGCAGGCACGCGCACACACACGCACACACGCGCACACACGCGCACACACGCACGCACACACACACACGCACGCACACACACGCGCACACACACACACACACGCGCACACACGCACGCACACACACACACGCACACACACACACGCGCACCCCCCACACGCTCCAAGTGGAGGCACACATTCAGACTTGTGACCACACTCACCCACTGTACTTGCCCAGGCAGTCAATCTGGACTGTATTTTTTAACAGCTGCCAGCACAGGTGATGCTATTTACAGTGATAAGCCATGAAGTTGAGGAACCCATAGCAAGACAGGTGCATATATGAACACGATCAGGGTAATTGGGGCCAATACTTTAGCCCAGGCAAGTGGCCCCTGCATAGGTTGTCCGGCCTGGCACGGCCCCCCTCCGAGATCTGGGTCTAAAAAGCTACGCTTCGAAATTCGAAAAGGACTCGCCGCCTTCGTCACTTCTGCGTCGTCGCAAGCGCACGAGCACAGCACGGTGCTGTGTTCGTGCGCATCCCTTCATGAATCCACTGCCGGACGAGTGGCCTCCGCATGTCGTGCGGGTCGTGGGGATTATTTGACCGTACTTCACCACGCTCTAGTCGGCGTGGGTGGGTTGGCGAAGGCAGGGAGCGCAGACGCGGGTGCGAAGGAGCGAGTTGCTGCAGTGCACTTGTGCTGTACTGCTCTCTGCTCCACACAAAAGAGCACTTATCCACCAGCGCCTATAACAACCTGGCATGCATGTTTGGCGGTCGCCTAGTCCAAGCGCTGTCCAGGTTAGACGCTGCTTAGCTCTCGAGATATGATGAGATTGCGCGCATGCCGTGCCATTTGGGTCGGGGGCATTTAGGGTTCTGTTGAGTAATGTTCTCCGAAGCGGGGGGTGTGTGTTTGTGTGCGTGTGTGTGCACGCATCCTGGTGTGGGAAGGGCGAGTGTAAGCGGTTAACGCGCTCCGCTACAAACCCGGCAACCCGAGGTCAATTACCGCTCACGGGCAACATCAGTGACGATTATCTGAACCAGTCCTGGGCCTCCCCTATGACAAATCAGCCTCAAATGAGCACCTGGTCCGGCGTGTAAACATCGCCACTCGGGAGACAAAGGTTACCGGGCGTTGGCGCTGGCCACCCAATGCCTCGTGTGTCGCGCCGGCCTTCATGGGTGCTACTCGCTGACAGCACTTGCCCCAACAGCCGGTTAAGGCCACACGGGAGACCTTTGTCTTCGCGAACGCACCCGGTGAATGTTTATTGCGTGTGGCAGCAGGTGAGCGCTCAGCCCCGTGCGCAAGGTGAGGCCGAGCTCCCACCTGATCGTCGTCGTGGCGCACGATGGGCAGGTAATAGAACTGGCTCCCGTACTCCCCGGGCAGGAACGCAGTGAGGCCCGGCAGCGACTCCTCCGAAAAGTTCTCACCGCAGCTCAAGTCCTCTGCAGCGAAACCGCAGGCGCCGATTAACAACGGCGCGGGCCTCTCCACTCCACAGCGTGGGCTCAGCACACGCAACGGGCTAGCGGCCTGACACGCGCGGAAATTAAAACGCACGCACGGCTTCTTGACTTGACGCGCGCATGTTCAGACGACGCGCGGTTCAACAAATGCATGGCCTGCACAGCATTTAGCCACGAGCATGCAGAATGAAAGATTTGTGAAAGTACCCACGAGCATGCGCTGTAGTAAATCACACACGGCGGAACTTCTCTTATCTCCGTGACTGGTCCCCACTATGCGTGGATCATATTATCCGAGGAGCAAACTGCAGAGGGGAAAGAAAAAAAAGGAATACCAGGAAGAATGTGCCACTAATTCTGGGTCACTTCCTCTTTGAATGTTTCAGCACTTGTGTGTAATTTTACTCGAATTGGCATGAAGCATCAGATGACCCGGAAGGCCGCAGTGGTTCAGAGACCTCTTCCCGGTGACTAATCCACGCAAAAGGCTCCGATAATAGAAATAATATACCGATGGTTCTAGGTACCATCCTCTTACCAGAGGCTGGGATAATGGGGGATGATGGGAAGGTCTGTGGATTACTTAGGGTGCGTGTTTTGAAAGGAAAATGTATGATAGGAACTCCGATAATAGGTGTTTTAATCAAACACAGCTCAGCACACGCAGCAATAAACCACAGACATTACCCAGAACAGCATAATAATGGCAAAGAGCCACATTTGATCCATAATTAATTTTTGGGCCAGCTTGCGTAAGTATATTGTATGTTATGAACCCTCCATTGTTTAAGGGCGCCCTATACATCTAAATTGTTCGTTGTTGTAACATTCTGACCTGCTTCTACTGGACATTAGTGAAAAAAATATGTACAGCTCATCGGATTCCTCCAGTCTGAATAAATATTCTGAAATCATTATAATACATTAAAATGATGTGGTGGTGGTGGTGCTGCTGCTGAAGCAGTAGTAAATTGGCATGTTTGTTCACTTACTAACCTTATTAATTGGCTGTGTTGGGTGGAGGAGGGTTCAATCTAGATTTGAAGTTTTTGTGACTGCAGGGATCCATACTCTTTGGTTCGTTCGGTGAAGTCACGTAGGTAGAAAATAAATTTAATTAAGGAGGGTTTACAACTCACGTCTTTTTTCACACGACCTGATCCAAAAATATACTACGAATCAATATTGGTTGCGAAAAGCGTGAAGTGTTCAGCCCCATTTGACTTGTGCTGTCACAGCAAGCACCCACTGAGGCTGGTGAAAGTAATGGAAAGTGAACGTGAAACGTGAGGGAGCAAGACGATTCTATGGACTGTAGCCATCAGTGTTACCCAGCAGTAGAGAGAAAATACAAAAGTAAGAGACCGTTTTGGCCAGGAGGCATGGAAACCCAGCACCCATCTCACAATCAAGAGGGCATGAGTTACAATCCCGGGTCAGGGGTCGTCTCAGCTCATTCGCTGGTTCTCAGCGGAAGACAAAATTGGTATCACTTTGCGAAATGTGGAGACTCCCAACGAATATGGAATGCTGACCGGACTTTCACCGCTGATCAATGTTAATGTTGTACATTAAATCCTTGACGGAAACATTTGTCAATTAAGGCTTTTGTTGTTGTTGTATTCAACAATGACTAAGCGTGGTTGAAAACCATCAAGTATCAGAATCTTCAATTATTCATTTATCCTGGAGGAATACGATGAGCTATGGATATGCTCCCTTGGACACATGTCCAAGTAGGGGCGGGTCAGAAAGTTTCAACAAGAAAGAGCACACAAAAAACTATTGGAGTGCAAATTATAGGACAGGTATAAAATAAATAAATATAATAACAATTAATTAAGTACAGTGGTACCTCGGTATACGTCGTGAATTCGTTCCAGAAGGTAGGACGACTCATACCGGAAGTGACGTGTACCAAACGAATTGTTCCCATAAGATATGAAGGGAAAGGAAATAATCTGTTCCAGAGTATAAGAAATGATATTTTATATGGCATAGTATACATCAATGGGGTTGTATTAAATAATTTAGACACTACTTATACTAAAATGCATACATAAATTAAAATGACAAAAAACACGTTACAGCAAGGGGGTTGTGCACTGAACGAGATCGACAGGCAGACTGAGGAGCGGCGCTTTGTCCAAGTCGTGAACGGGGTAGACGCGGGGAAGCGCCGACTCATCCCGACCCATACAAGCTCTAGTAAGCGCGTCGTGTCCCAAGCAAGACGTCGTATCACAAGCAAGACGTCGTATCTCAAGACGTCGTATCCCAAGCAAGACGTCGTATCACAAGCAAGACGTATCCCAAGCAAGACGTATCCCAAGCAAGACGTATCCCAAGCGAGACGTATCCCAAGCAAGATGTCATATCCCAAGCAAGACGTCATATCCCAAGACGTCGTATCCCAAGCAAGACGTCATATCCCAAGACGTCATATCCCAAGCAAGACGTCATATCCCAAGTAAGACATCATATCCCAAGACGTCATATCCCAAGCAAGACGTCGTATCCCAAGACATTTTTTTCTCGTCAAAACACGACGTGTACCAAATTCGACGTATGCCAAAGCGGTCGAATAACCGAGGTATGACTGTATGAGTACAAGTTGCATAAATACTTCAATTCCTGCCGATTTATCAACACTAAATGGAAGTCTTCTTTGGTTCTTTCGGTAAAGTCACGTAGAATGAGAATAAAATAATAAATTGATAAAATAAAATAACACAATAATATTCTCACGACGTTTCGGCCACAACACAAGCGGCCTTCATCAGGTGAAGGGAGCGAGACTGTCTGGTAGGACAGCGCTGGAGTGAGAGAGCCACGTTCAGATCACGGCTTTTAATTCCTTCGTCAAGGCTCTTTGTTCCTCTCACACAGCTTAAAAGCCGTGATCTGAACGTGGCTCTCTCACTCCAGCGCTGTCCTACCAGACAGTCTCGCTCCCTTCACCTGATGAAGGCCGCTTGTGTTGTGGCCGAAACGTCGTGAGAATATTATTGTGTTATTTTATTTTATCAATTTATTATTTTATTCTCATTCTACGTGACTTTACCGAAAGAACCAAAGAAGATGAATCATTGCAGTCACGAAAGCTTTAAATCGAAAACTAAATGGAAGCTTGGGCAAGGCAGCAAAACAACCACAGCAACAACAACAGTCCCAGACCACACCAAGACAACACACGGTAGCCTCTCAATAAAGCTGCACATTGAAATCGACCTATCGATACGTGGGTAAGGATGAAAGATTCAAATTACATTCGCAAACGTGGTTGAGCGACGATGACGAGACAAAATGAACGGGACTGAGCGTAGACGCGGACCGAGACGACAAGGAATAATCGCGTGATGAGGAGAATGATCTCACAAAGTCCACAGACGAGGCCTTGACTAAAACTCCGCGGGATGTCGTCGACTCGACTAAGACCGAAAGAAATCACCGAACACTCATCGACGCTTTCCAACGAAGGTTTAACACCCCGATGCTTTATCTCTGTCTGTCCATCTGGAACAGTGGCGGGGGGGGGGGGGGGGGGGGCGGGGGACATATCTCTCATTCAGCATGATCCAATATGAATTCAACTTCAGTATAACGTTGCGTTGCTATTAGAAACTCACCCTGTTGAAAAGGAACTGATTTTCATCAAAGAAGTAGCCAAACTTTGAAGGCAAACCAGGGCAAAAATTACTACGTGCAAATATGCGAACAGGTCTTGCCCCGCACAGCTCCCCCCAACGGCTTCCCTACCGATAATGAAAACCATGCCAAGGAACCGACGAGCGTTGCAAGTGTGAAGCCATAGATGCATGCGCCCGGGTTTTTTTTCCACAACTTATTTAAGCACGGCGACACTTTCTTTGACCTCTCACCGTGCGCACGGCAAGGAGCGGTAGAGGCACAATTTGTTCCCCCCGAGAATTCGTGTTCATTCAGAACGGATCGCTTGGGAAATGGGAATATTTGCGTAATTGCAACAATATATTTAAGGCTGTAAGATTACAATTAGTTTTTTTTTGCTGAATGCACGAAAACTGAGGCATAATACTACTTATTGTCGCCAATTAAACCATAACCATTTAATTGGAGTTAAAGATCGCTGTGTTATAGCCTTGTATGGCTAAAATGGTTTCAGATTCAACTTATTAATTGTAATGCTGGCTGATGAAGTGCCATGGGGATTATACAGTGTAGGCCTAATCCACTGCAGCTTTAGAGGCATCAGGAGTATTAACGGTCGCAATAACGACCTCGAAGGAATGCTCCGCCCTTCAGCCGATGTTTTCAAGTTAAGAATGGCATTAGAATGGCAGCAAGAAAGCCGACCTCCGTTGACATGAGAGGGGGGACTCAACCGTGCTGATCGGAGGTGCGAATGTGCGCAAAGAATTAAGAAGAGATGGATGCTAGACGTCACACTGATGGAAAGAGGAGACAATATATATTCGGTTGAAAATGCCACAATTTTAACCCGTGGGTAGGATTGAGAGCAACGCACGTCGTTAGGCAGTGGCAGGTGGGCGAGATTAAGAAATGAGTGTGCGGCCAAAGGATGGAACGTGCTCGAGAGAATGTCCACCACCGTTATGGATCAACGGGAACTTGGTGGTGGCCCATCCAAACACTATCCGCCCCCCCGAGCGGGTCATTCAGGGCCACCTGACAAGGCTCCAATGCGCACAGATTTACCGTTCAGATCCAGGAAGAGCACCGGAAAATGCTGCTCCATACCAGGGGCCGGCGTCCTGTGCACAACCACAGGCACAAATCACATGCACATACACAATTACACAAAGATCCCCCGTGTAGCCTTTAACAGACTGTTGTGGCAAGTGCTGTTGGCGAGCACCTGTGAATTCTGGCATGGCACACGAGGGGGTGGATGGCCAGCACCACGCCATACACACACAACAACCGTCACCACGGCGCTTGTGCCAGGCTAGATGCATATACACACATATAAATGTATATGGTATATACATTTATATGGACGTATGCATACAAGTGCCTATAGCCAAAACACCAAGTTTGTGGTTGAGTGGTGCAACGGTTGTGTGTGCACTGTGCCATCAACCCAGCGACCAGAGTTCAATTCCCTGCCATGGCTAACATCGCTGGCCATGGGCACCCACTCCCCCTTCACGAACCCGCATTGACCAGCGTGGTGAAGTATGGTCAAACAACCTGCACAACCGAGAGGTCTTCGTCCAGCAGTAGATTGTTGCTGGAATGGTAAACGATGATGATTATTATTGTTGTTGTATATCATTTTGGGCGAAAGTTTCCAGTGAACACTCGCTATGACTGGCACGACAACAACAAACGCCACTAAGTGGCGTTGACATCACCACGACGCTTGTGCCAGGCCATGTGCACCTTGAGGCCACGTGAAGTGTCGAACGCCTGCCGGCAGGAGGTCGCGGAGCAGACCCAGCAGGTGCCACGGGTCGACTGACTGAGATGACTGAGACGACTGGTTGATGCACCACCTGTGCCCCCTACTGTGCCAACCTGCTGTGCTTTAGCCACCCGGCACGACACACACACGCACACAGGCGTAGGGGTCAGCACCATGCGCCTGACCCCCCACCGTCTCCCTGTGGCTCACGGTGACGCCGACAGTTACAAAGTTTTCATTTGAAGCGAGATGTCCTCAGGGTAACTCATGCGGGGTGTAGATAAATATCTATAATTCACCACTGGACAAAGACAGAGATCACCCGTATAGCCTTAACAGGTTGCTGGGGCAAGTGCTGCTGGCTGCTGTCCGCGAGTAGCAGCACCCATGAAGGCCGGCACGGCACACCACGAGGTGGGTTCAGTGTGGAATGTACAGTAACCACGTAAACCCTGCCGCCTTTGTCTTCCTAGCGCTGCGGAATATTTTTTCACAGAACCACACATAAATGGATGCTCTGCACCGTGGCAAGGAGTGCTGTGGAGAAGAACGCTCACTCATGGATGCCAGTGTTGACTTTCACGAAGGAAAAACAACACCATGGGAGTCCCCTTTCACCACCATAAGCGTGGTACTTGCACCAGGCCAGGCGCATGTGCAGTGGCAAAACGTGGCCAGCTGGAGGTCACTGAACAGACCCAGCTGGCGTGCGTTACATATTTCCAGATGCTCAATGTGTTTGTGTATTCAGTTGCGTGTTAGGTTGTGGTGGTTCAGTTAATATGCGCGTGTGTGTATGCAACCCCCTGGACTACGACGACAACCGCCATTCACTTATTGGCCGTGACATCACCACGGCGTCTGCGCCAGGCCAGGTGCCCATGTGAAGTGTCAAAGCTCCGCTGGCAGGTCATGGAACAGACCCAGGTGCCATGGCTTGACTGACTGAGATGACTGGCAGATGCACCAACTGTGCTCCCCGATGTGCCAACTTTCTGCATTTTATCCGCCAGGCACTTTGCTCATTGTTGTGAGTGTCGCTCCTCTGCTCTCTTGTTGTTGCTGGAGGGCGATTGCCTCCAACTCCCCAGCAGCATCCTTCACGAACCTCCTCCACAGAGGTCGATCTTGACACTGTACCACATCAATCCATCTCTTCTCTAGCCCATGCCGTGCCCATTTAGCCCCCTTCTATCCCTGCCAGAATCTGTTTTTAAAATGCAGTGGCTGGGCATGCGGGCTACATGACCCAACCAATGCAGCGTTGCTTGCTGGAGGAGCTCACGGATGGGACTCCATCTAGATCTTTCACACAATCCAATCTAGTTGAACCCAGGACAGGTTCACCCACATACACAAACATGTACCACGTATACAAAGAAACAAGGATCATAAAACAAAGCCAGTGAACATGGTCAGTGCATGTAAGGCAGGAGTGGGGAACATTTTCATTACCGAGAGGCGAATAGGATTTTTAAACGGCTTTAGTAAGGCCACACAATAACTCACTGCCAGTGGCCTCGTGCAACGTTGAAATTAGAAACACAGCATTTTTTCCAAGTTGAAAAAAAATCCCCCTTTGAGTACTCGATTAGGGCAGGCAGAGACCCCTTGCCGTGACGGATAAATATCGCGGTGCGGATCGTTTCAAAGCGGTAGATTTTGTGCGGCCACGGGCCGCATCAAATGAAGCCAGGGGCTGTACGCAGCCCGCGGGACCGTCGGATCCCCCCGCGGTCGATGCGAGGGATCACGGCCGTAGATCAAAGCCACCGTTGGGGGACAGCCGCAAAGCAGGTTGCTGAGAGAGGTGGCTTATATATTGAGATGCGCAGTGAAAAGAGGCGAGCGGAATGCGCGGGAGTCGAGACGAACGACGAAGACTGGCCGCCGGGCCAGAGCCACCGGTGACAAAACGCGCGGCAGGTTTCCGGCCGTGCGGCGGTGGACAGAGAGCGAGGCCGAGCGGTGACGCACCCCTCGGCGGGGGCCCCGGGCACTCCGCTGCCCGGGGCGGGGACCAGGACGGCGTTGCGCTCCTCCGTGAGGCCGACCCACTGGGACACGAGCCGCGACTCCCTCTCCTTCTCCACCTCCGACTTGTCTGCATGCGCACGCACACACACACGACGACACACCGCGGCCCCCCACACACCGACATGTTTATATGCCGCAGGGGCTGCTGGGGAAAGTGCGGATCGCGATCGTCTACGAAGGGCAGCGTGGCATGTCGGGCGAGGTCACAATCGCGTGGCAGCGTGGCAACACCGGTGCTAATGCCGACATGCTGAATCGTTAATCATTTCAAGAACCGGATACAAATTGTCTGTTGGCTGTTTCGAAGGGGTAGGCCTCATGTGGCCGTCGGGGCGTGTGAAAGTAAATCAAGCGCCATAGTTTCTTCATCCTTGACCTACGGCAATTAAAACTGGGGTCATGTGAGATGCAGTGATGGTGGACGTGGCTGCAACGGTTGAAGCGTGTGCGACATGAATTGAGCTGCAGAGGTTACACGTTCGTGTTTTAAGAGGTGTTCGGATAATACGAGTTAAGGACGAGAATTACATCGACATTCTCTTGCACGTTCATTATTTTTTTTTCAACAAATAAATTATGGCAGGTGTCAATGTGCCTCTGTACAATGCTTGCTTAAATCCGCCTAGTTATTTCAATGCTAAATTCTCCTGTTTTGATTTGACTGGTCACTAGCAAATCACTCAGTTATTTCAATGCTTAAATCCGCCTAGTTATTTCAATGCTAAATTCTCCTGTTTGATTTGACTGGTCACTAGCAAATCACTCAGTTATTTCAATGCTTAAATCCGCCTAGTTATTTCAATGCTAAATTCTCCTGTTTGATTTGACTGGTCACTAGCAAATCACTCAGTTATTTCAATGCTTAAATCCGCCTAGTTATTTCAATGCTAAATTCTCCTGTTTGATTTGACTGGTCACTAGCAAATCACTCAGTTATTTCAATGCTTAAATCCGCCTAGTTATTTCAATGCTAAATTCTCCTGTTTGATTTGACTGGTCACTAGCAAATCACTCAGTTATTTCAATGCTTAAATCCGCATAGTTATTTCAATGCTAAATTCTCCTGTTTGATTTGACTGGTCACTAGCAAATCACTCAGTTATTTCAATGCTTAAATCCGCCTAGTTATTTCAATGCTAAATTCTCCTGTTTTGATTTGACTGGTCACTAGCAAATCACTCAGTTATTTCAATGCTTAAATCCGCCTAGTTATTTCAATGCTAAATTCTCCTGTTTGATTTGACTGGTCACTAGCAAATCACTCAGTTATTTCAATGCTTAAATCCGCCTAGTTATTTCAATGCTAAATTCTCCTGTTTGATTTGACTGGTCACTAGCAAATCACTCAGTTATTTCAATGCTTAAATCCGCCTAGTTATTTCAATGCTAAATTCTCCTGTTTGATTTGACTGGTCACTAGCAAATCACTCAGTTATTTCAATGCTTAAATCCGCCTAGTTATTTCAATGCTAAATTCTCCTGTTTGATTTGACTGGTCACTAGCAAATCACTCAGTTATTTCAATGCTTAAATCCGCCTAGTTATTTCAATGCTAAATTCTCCTGTTTGATTTGACTGGTCACTAGCAAATCACTCAGTTATTTCAATGCTTAAATCCGCCTAGTTATTTCAATGCTAAATTCTCCTGTTTGATTTGACTGGTCACTAGCAAATCACTCAGTTATTTCAATGCTTAAATCCGCCTAGTTATTTCAATGCTAAATTCTCCTGTTTGATTTGACTGGTCACTAGCAAATCACTCAGTTATTTCAATGCTTAAATCCGCCTAGTTATTTCAATGCTAAATTCTCCTGTTTGATTTGACTGGTCACTAGCAAATCACTCAGTTATTTCAATGCTTAAATCCGCCTAGTTATTTTCAATGCTAAATTCTCCTGTTTGATTTGACTGGTCACTAGCAAATCACTCAGTTATTTCAATGCTTAAATCCGCCTAGTTATTTCAATGCTAAATTCTCCTGTTTGATTTGACTGGTCACTAGCAAATCACTCAGTTATTTCAATGCTTAAATCCGCCTAGTTATTTCAATGCTAAATTCTCCTGTTTGATTTGACTGGTCACTAGCAAATCACTCAGTTATTTCAATGCTTAAATCCGCCTAGTTATTTCAATGCTAATTCTCCTGTTTGATTTGACTGGTCACTAGCAAAATCACTCAGTTATTTCAATGCTTAAATCCGCCTAGTTATTTCAATGCTAAATTCTCCTGTTTTGATTTGACTGGTCACTAGCAAATCACTCAGTTATTTCAATGCTTAAATCCGCCTAGTTATTTCAATGCTAAATTCTCCTGTTTGATTTGGACTGGTCACTAGCAAATCACTCAGTTATTTCAATGCTTAAATCCGCCTAGTTATTTCAATGCTAAATTCTCCTGTTTGATTTGACTGGTCACTAGCAAATCACTCAGTTATTTCAATGCTTAAATCCGCCTAGTTATTTCAATGCTAAATTCTCCTGTTTGATTTGACTGGTCACTAGCAAATCACTCAGTTATTTCAATGCTTAAATCCGCCTAGTTATTTCAATGCTAAATTCTCCTGTTTGATTTGACTGGTCACTAGCAAATCACTCAGTTATTTCAATGCTTAAATCCGCCTAGTTATTTCAATGCTAAATTCTCCTGTTTGATTTGACTGGTCACTAGGCAAATCACTCAGTTATTTCAATGCTTAAATCCGCCTAGTTATTTCAATGCTAAATTCTCCTGTTTGATTTGACTGGTCACTAGCAAATCACTCAGTTATTTCAATGCTTAAATCCGCCTAGTTATTTCAATGCTAAATTCTCCTGTTTGATTTGACTGGTCACTAGCAAATCACTCAGTTATTTCAATGCTTAAATCCGCCTAGTTATTTCAATGCTAAATTCTCCTGTTTGATTTGACTGGTCACTAGCAAATCACTCAGTTATTTCAATGCTTAAATCCGCCTAGTTATTTCAATGCTAAATTCTCCTGTTTGATTTGACTGGTCACTAGCAAATCACTCAGTTATTTCAATGCTTAAATCCGCCTAGTTATTTCAATGCTAAATTCTCCTGTTTGATTTGACTGGTCACTAGCAAATCACTCAGTTATTTCAATGCTTAAATCCGCCTAGTTATTTCAATGCTAAATTCTCCTGTTTGATTTGACTGGTCACTAGCAAATCACTCAGTTATTTCAATGCTTAAATCCGCCTAGTTATTTCAATGCTAAATTCTCCTGTTTGATTTGACTGGTCACTAGCAAATCACTCAGTTATTTCAATGCTTAAATCCGCCTAGTTATTTCAATGCTAAATTCTCCTGTTTGATTTGACTGGTCACTAGCAAATCACTCAGTTATTTCAATGCTTAAATCCGCCTAGTTATTTCAATGCTAAATTCTCCTGTTTGATTTGACTGGTCACTAGCAAATCACTCAGTTATTTCAATGCTTAAATCCGCCTAGTTATTTCAATGCTAAATTCTCCTGTTTGATTTGACTGGTCACTAGCAAATCACTCAGTTATTTCAATGCTTAAATCCGCCTAGTTATTTCAATGCTAAATTCTCCTGTTTGATTTGACTGGTCACTAGCAAATCACTCAGTTATTTCAATGCTTAAATCCGCCTAGTTATTTCAATGCTAAATTCTCCTGTTTGATTTGACTGGTCACTAGCAAATCACATCAGTTATTTCAATGCTTAAATCCGCCTAGTTATTTCAATGCTAAATTCTCCTGTTTGATTTGACTGGTCACTAGCAAATCACTCAGTTATTTCAATGCTTAAATCCGCCTAGTTATTTCAATGCTAAATTCTCCTGTTTGATTTGACTGGTCACTAGCAAATCACTCAGTTATTTCAATGCTTAAATCCGCCTAGTTATTTCAATGCTAAATTCTCCTGTTTGATTTGACTGGTCACTAGCAAATCACTCAGTTATTTCAATGCTTAAATCCGCCTAGTTATTTCAATGCTAAATTCTCCTGTTTGATTTGACTGGTCACTAGCAAATCACTCAGTTATTTCAATGCTTAAATCCGCCTAGTTATTTCAATGCTAAATTCTCCTGTTTGATTTGACTGGTCACTAGCAAATCACTCAGTTATTTCAATGCTTAAATCCGCCCTAGTTATTTCAATGCTAAATTCTCCTGTTTGATTTGACTGGTCACTAGCAAATCACTCAGTTATTTCAATGCTTAAATCCGCCTAGTTATTTAAATGCTAAATTCACCTGTTGATTTGACTGGTCACTAGCAAATCACTCAGTTATTTCAATGCTTAAATCCGCCTAGTTATTTCAATGCTAAATTCTCCTGTTTGATTTGACTGGTCACTAGCAAATCACTCAGTTATTTTAATGCTTAAATCCGCCTAGTTATTTCAATGCTAAATTCTCCTGTTTGATTTGACTGGTCACTAGCAAATCACTCAGTTATTTCAATGCTTAAATCCGCCTAGTTATTTCAATGCTAAATTCTCCTGTTTGATTTGACTGGTCACTAGCAAATCACTCAGTTATTTCAATGCTTAAATCCGCCTAGTTATTTCAATGCTAAATTCTCCTGTTTGATTTGACTGGTCACTAGCAAATCACTCAGTTATTTCAATGCTTAAATCCGCCTAGTTATTTCAATGCTAAATTCTCCTGTTTGATTTGACTGGTCACTAGCAAATCACTCAGTTATTTCAATGCTTAAATCCGCCTAGTTATTTCAATGCTAAATTCTCCTGTTTGATTTGACTGGTCACTAGCAAATCACTCAGTTATTTCAATGCTTAAATCCGCCTAGTTATTTCAATGCTAAATTCTCCTGTTTGATTTGACTGGTCACTAGCAAATTACTCAGTTATTTCAATGCTTAAATCCGCCTAGTTATTTCAATGCTAAATTCTCCTGTTTGATTTGACTGGTCACTAGCAAATCACTCAGTTATTTCAATGCTTAAATCCGCCTAGTTATTTCAATGCTAAATTCTCCTGTTTGATTTGACTGGTCACTAGCAAATCACTCAGTTATTTCAATGCTTAAATCCGCCTAGTTATTTCAATGCTAAATTCTCCTGTTTGATTTGACTGGTCACTAGCAAATCACTCAGTTATTTCAATGCTTAAATCCGCCTAGTTATTTCAATGCTAAATTCTCCTGTTTGATTTGACTGGTCACTAGCAAATCACTCAGTTATTTCAATGCTTAAATCCGCCTAGTTATTTCAATGCTAAATTCTCCTGTTTGATTTGACTGGTCACTAGCAAATCACTCAGTTATTTCAATGCTTAAATCCGCCTAGTTATTTCAATGCTAAATTCTCCTGTTTGATTTGACTGGTCACTAGCAAATCACTCAGTTATTTCAATGCTTAAATCCGCCTAGTTATTTCAATGCTAAATTCTCCTGTTTGATTTGTACTAAGTGCCTCGGTGAATGTGTATGCTCTGACTTCAACGTAACTATTTCTGTGAGCAGTTACAAGCGAATCACTCAGCCATTTCAATGCTAAATTCTATGCTAATCCCGTTATCAAGGGGTGCCTCTGCAGATGTGTATGCCTTAATTTAGCTATTTCAATGCTAAATTCTATGCTAATTCCTTTTAACAATGGGTGCCTCTGCGGATGTGTGTGCTTTAACTTTTAACATAGCTATTTCTGTGACCAGTCACAAGCTAATCATTCAGCCATTTCAATGCTAAATTTTATGCTAATTCCTTCGTCAAGGCTCTTTGTTCCTCTCACACAGCTTAAAAGCCGTGATCTGAACGTGGCTCTCTCACTCCAGCGCTGTCCTACCAGACAGTCTCGCTCCCTTCACCTGATGAAGGCCGCTTGTGTTGTGGCCGAAACGTCGTGAGAATATTATTGTGTTATTTTATTTTATCAATTTATTATTTTATTCTCATTCTACGTGACTTTACCGAAAGAACCAAAGAAGATGAATCATTGCAGTCACGAAAGCTTTAAATCGAAATTTAAATCGAAATTTAATGCTTGAGGAATGCGCTTTGTCTATGGGTTTCCTCAAGAAGGCGTTTCACAAAGAAACACGCAAACGAGTCGTGGGCAGGTGATGAGGCGACACCTGGTTTAGCGACGAGCTCCTGTATCTCAGCGTCCAGGTATTCCCGTCTCACTGACAACGCCTCCGACCACCGCTCGCGCAACGCCAGCAGCCCGTCCTCCTGTCAACGAAGACATGGGTGACCCCGTGCAGCCCACAACAAACCGTTGAAATTTTACGAGCAGCTATGAAATCCGGCTTTTTCTCCCCAGTGATGACATTAACGTAAGGTAAGCAAGGCAAATTCACACATGGTATGAAAGGCACATTTTCACAAGTAACACAAGGCATACTTACACATGGTACGCAAGGCAAACTTACACAAGGTACACAAGGCACACTTACACATGGTACACAAGGCACATTTACACAAGGTTCACAAGTTACATAGTATGAAAGGCACAAGGTACTCATTTAACGCCGAGGCGAGCCATGTTAGGGTTCAGGATCGTTCAGATAATCGGCACCAACGTTTGCGGTGGCCAGGAATCGAACTCAGGCTGCTGGGTTTATGAACCCAGTGAAAAAAGACAACTATCTATGTATAGTCACACGTACACACGGAATTATAAGCCCTTTCCCACACCGACAAAATGTGCAAACACAAATACTAAACTAAAAACTATTTTTCATTTTACCAGGCAAGGCCCACTGAGCTACGTAGCTCTTTTTCAAAGCGACCTGGCCACAAATGATATCTCAACGAAGTGGCTCATCATATGCACATTTATAGCAGCCAAATACTCCAAACGCACGTTTATAAATGTGGAGGTGCAAAAACCGGTGGCACCGGAGAAAATCGACGCGAACACGGGAAGGACATACAAACTCAAAATATACAACAGGCGTCACAGGGTCGGGATCTAAACCATGGCCTTATGTATACCAGGCGAGGTAGTTAACATCTCAAGTAGAAAAAGATCCTCAGTCTCGTGTCAGTGGCAACGGCTCGCCCATCCCATTAGCACGGTTGGCGACGTACGGTGTTAAAGAAGTTCAACATACGTACGTACAATATTCTGGGGCAAACACCTGAATGTCACAAATGCAGTGGGTGGGCCCAACCACCGTCTTTCCCGTGCTCCTATGACCGTATAGCACCAGGCACTCATTGGCAGGCTGAGTCACCCTGGAAGAGGCACAGGCCAGGCTTAGATATACCAACTACCACTGGGCTTTGAGTGTCAAGGACAGGAAATTTAATTAATCTATGTGCCTGGGATCATAGTGTGCAAAGCACTGCCTCACCGCGTACCAACATGAAAAACAACAGCTGCCATTTTGGGTATGTATGCATGCATGTTGAACTTCTTTCGCGCCGTACGTAGACAATCGGAGGTGCGGGGAACGACAACAAACCATGTCACCACAGCGTTTGTGCCAGACTGTGTGCACATTGAGGCTACATGAAGGGTCAAAGGCTCGCTGGCAAGAGATCAGAGGGCAGACCCAGGTGCCACCTGATCTCTCCACTGTGCCGACATTCTGCGTTTTAACTCACTGGCGCTCCACTCATTGTTACGAGCATTGCTCCTTTGCCCTCCGTTGTTGCTGGAGGACGACTGCTTACAACTGCCCAGTAGCATCCTTCATGAGCCTCCTCTCCATAAAAGCCAATCTTGTATGCATGTATGTTGAAATTCTTTCGCACAGTACGTAGCCAAGCGTGCTAATCGGAGGTGCGGGGGGAAGCACAACAAACTAAAGCACAACAAACTAAAGCACAAAAAGTGGTTCTTGAGACCGCTGGTACCAGTCATCCGCACGTACATACATGCACACATACATGTGAAAGCGAGACCTACAGGCGTGCAAACACTGTAACTCATGCATTCACGCTGCTCAGGCACGCATCCCACCATACCTGGTAACTCACAATAGAGGTCTTTTTGGGTTAGATCGCGTAAATATATAAATGTGTTGTTAAACCCACCACCACCCGACACAGCCAACTAGTAAGGGTTGTCACGCAAACAGAACGTGGCGAATTCGTCACTAGTACGGCACACCGGTGTGTTGGAGAGCCAAATCTGGCTGTCGCCTGATGAACCTAGTTGTAATTACTGGCGAAACGTCGTACTCAGATTGTAAATGTTGTGGCTTGGCTCTCCAACACACCGGTTAGTGCTGTACTAGTGACGAATTGGCCATGTCCTGTTTACGTGACAAACCTTACTAATTGGCTGTGTCGGGTGGTGGCGGGTTTAACGACACATTTATATATTTACGTGATCTAACCCAAAAAAACCTCTATTGTGGATGCTATCGGTCGCGAAAGCCTGCTCCGTGTTCAACTTACCTGGTAACTGTCCACGTCTTCACGGTCCTTCTGTGAACAGGCACAAAAAACGCACAAAGCATGACCTCTTGAGTGCAAGTTTCCTCATGGACATCTCAGGAGTGACACAAGAACAGAAAGAAAAAAATGAAACCCACAGCCAGAGAAAGGAATGCGAATTGTCAACCTACCCATTATAATCGCATAGCTCTGTGGCCAAGAAGGGAAAGTCGCGAATGCAAAGAGGGGCCAAATCACGTGTTGTTGGGAAGGCAGTCGCTAGCAATGTATTTGAGTTACACCTGGTGTGGGGTTATTCTTCAATAAGATCGAGGCTGGTTACCGGATCTCCATCATGCAGAGCTCACAAGAAACACGGCCAAAACTACCACAGGGTGCTCCGTCATTCCATCTGAACGAGTGATTTGCTCTCGAGCTACCGACGACTCATGTCTCAAAAATACCGGTCGCAATCAGGGTGTTGTTTCGAGGTCGTACGGGCTGTAACGAAGTGCCGGATCGCTCTCTTTCGACCCACCGCGTAGCTTATTCCGCCCACACCCCTCTCACCGAACGTCACCCTACATTCTGTCAAGACGCTCGAACTGCCCCAAAGTGCATCGCCGCATTGGTAAGCGGCAAACACAACCGAATCGCCGCACTGCTCACCGCTGCCCGTGACGTAGCCCCGCAACAAACCTGTCCTACGCACGGCCTTCGCCCACCCAAACGCTTATCCAGCCTCAACGCTGCCTAGCCACTGCGACGCCGATGCATACCCGGGCGATTCGGGGCGCCCCGGGCGCCCCGCGATTTTGCGAGCTCTCGCGCGTTTCGGGGCGGAAGCACACGGGCCCCGGGCGCGCCGTCGTCACCTGCGAGCCGGCGCCCTTGGTGCTGCGCGCCTCGATGCAGCCCACGGACACGGAGAGGATGCTCTCGGGCACGATGGGCAGGTTGCCGGAGCCCTGCACGGGGCTGACTCGCGCCAGCACGCGGCGCGAGCGCCCCTGCCGCAGGGCGAACACGCCGCCCGTGGACCGGTGCGCGTCGCCGCGGACCTCCACGGGGACGTAGTCGCCCTGCTCGCTCACCTCCTGCACCTGCACCCAGAGCTCCACGCGGCGCGTCACGTCGCTCCACCTGCGACGGCACGTCCTCCGTCGTGTCAGGCGATCGCCGGGGAAGCGCGAGCGCCAACGCGGGTGCAACACGCGTACAGCAACAAGCGCCGGCCCGCACACTGACGTGCTCTACATCGAGACACCTAAGCAGGGCCACCGAAAGGGTTTTTTGGAGGCCCGGGGCAAGATGCCAGATAGGGTCCCCGTTCTGTGGCCCCCTCGGCTTTTTCCGATCTGAGGCTCAAGGGAAAACTGCCGACTCTCTACAGCCCTGCACTTATGAGCGTCGGAGCTTGTCACGACTCCTAGCCCCCAAACTGCCGATTCCTTTCTCAGAACAGAATACGCTTCCTAGCGGGAGCGCGGCATCAGGCGGAACTGCGGAATCGTGCGGTGGGAGGGCAGCAGGTGAGCTGCACGGAGCCCAGTGGGGCATTCAGGCAAGAAGGGAGGACCCCATGGGGGTTCCCGATCGACATCATGATCACCATCATCTCTCTCGCGCGCGCGCCTCTCCACAAGTGTGATGGGCTCACACCTGGGACCCAGCACACATCTTAAAATGCAAATGGCTACACACGTGCAAATGCGAGACACTCCTGTAAAACAGTCTCGAGGCCCAGGCCTCAGCGAGTAAATAACAGAGGACAAAGCAATGACGTTACGCTGAATCAACCTGACTCGCGTTGCAGGGACCCCTCTACTTACGAACGAGTTAGGTTCAAGAGGTCTGTTTGTACGTCAACTTTACTCCTGTCGATTCCAAACATGTCATACGGCATGTACACTAATCACGGGGAAAGTTGTATAATCTCCTGTAGATGCAGATGCCACTGGTTCTTCACGTTCTGAAACTATAGACGCTACCACCGCCATCTATTGCGCGGTGGTTGCACTTACGACTGTCGATCCGAACAGGCAACTTGGACATACGGACAAGGTTTGTTCCTATCTCTGAAAGTTTGTAAGTCGAATGTTCGTAAGTAGAGGAGTCCCTATAGTTCATTGTGCATCAAACCAAGGAATGAAAGGATTGGTAGGATTCTAGCACTTTTACTCTAATGCCACTGCTTCCCCCGTAAATATTAAACCCACAAGCAGAATCATAATATTTATATATACACTGGAGGATTCCAATGAGCTATAAAGCTCTCTCTAACAGATGTCCAGTCGGAGTGGGTTAGAACGTGACGAGAACAAACAGTACAAAAGCACAATAGAAGTGCAAAGTATAACAATTAAATACGTTACCCATTTCCTAATATAAATATACCACGCACACAACACATTTAACATAAACACAATCTAAACAAATATACAATGCGGTACAAAAACACGCAACCTATCATACACACATCCACAAAACATGTTACACACAACACACAATTTAATCACACCGATATATACATAGTACGGTAAAGCCTTGGATTGCGATTAACTTGGTCTGCGAGTGTTTTGCAAGACGAGCAAACTTTTAAATAAATATTAATTTGATAAACGAGCGAGGTCTTGCAATACGAGTTGTACGTATACGCTTTGTCTGCCGAGTGTCACGTGATCACAACTGATATACGAGCGCTTTGATATACGAGTGCTTTGGATTACAAACACGTTTCCAGAACGAATTATGCTCGGAATCCAAGGTTTTACTTTACAACACAAGCACGAAACACATGCAACACATTTTTTTATACAAACACATTTTGCATGAAGAGTACACAAATATCATACGCAAAGATATACATTACACATACACAGCATATACATCCAACAAAAAGACAAAGATCCCATATAGCCTTAACATACTTGTTGGGCAAGCGCTGTTAGCGAGCACCTATGAAGGCCAACACGGCACACTGAAGGGTCGGTGGCCAGCACCACGCCCGGCCGCATTTGTTTCCCGAGCGGCGATGTTTGCACACCGTACCAGCTACTCATTTGAGGCCGAGTCGACCTAGGGGAGAACTTGGACCGGTTCAGATAACCGCCACCGGTATTGTCCGTAATCGGGAATCGAACTCAGGGCGGCGGATTCGTAGCACAGCGCGCGGACAACTATACCACCGCTCCCCATACGCACATCACACAAACGCACAAAGACGCGCAATGCGCACGCTTGCTGTAATCGAAACCCACATGTCTGGGTTGCGTTCCAATCCAGACAAAGCCGTGCTCCTGGGACAGGTGTCAGCGCCGCGAGTCCTTGCGAGTTCGCGTCAACCCTCAGGCTGCTGGGCCTGACAGAGCCGCCCCCCCCCCCCCCTCCTTGCTCGTCACCCAAAGCCTCGCAACTGCAACGAGCCCCGCACCCCGTGGGGTCTCATCGGCCATGCAGAAATTTGAACCCGCAGGTGTTTCAATATCTGGCACAAATAACGTGAGCACCACCCCCACCTCCTGCCCCCCCCCGCCCCCCCAGCCTCCCCAATTACAGCAGCCTCTCTCACGGGGGCACTTCCACTTGTCAAACCGCCACAGTCCGTTCCCGGTGGTTGTGGCGTAAAAAGCTGGTTCCATTTAAACCATTACCGTGAGAGGTGGCTGGGTGGCTCAAGGCGGGGCGGGGGGCGGGGGGGCGGTGTGGCAGATGATGGCTGTGTGTGGAAACAATGATCAAGCGCGGCTGAGACCCTGGGTTCAAATCCCAGGCGTCTACTCAATATGCAATCATGCGCATCAAGAGTTGCGAGTTGCACGATGCCCCCCACCACCCGCCCGCCCCGAGGCAACCTGACAGCAACAAAAATTATCCAGGCAGGGCGAATTACCCGTCAGTCATAATAATCCTGCACTTTGCAGGGTTGATGGAGCACGCAAACACTGCAAAGCGTTTGAGACGTTGGGACCGTGACGGGAACCCAAGGATCTCTGCGGTGCCGGTTCAGCTCTCTGATATTTGGGGGTTCACCAGGCCAGCTCGTAGAGCTGTATTTGTGACACAGCATAAACGTGACTTGTCAGGAACCCACCCCCCGCCCCTTCCCCCACACTTTCCTGCCCTGTCAGCATCACAGCTCCTGCAACAACAGCAACAACAACAACAAACTGCCGCCATTCGCCTCATCAAGCGTTACGGCGACATCACCACGGCGCTTGTGCCAGGCCAGGTGCACTCTGAGGCCACGCTCTTGCAGCACACACTAACCCCCCATCTGTGTAGCCTGTAACAGACTGTTGGGACAAGTGCTGTGATCGAGCACCTATGAAGGCCGGCACGGCACACGAGGGGGTGGATGGCCAGCAATACGCCCGGCCGCCTTTGTCTCCCCAGTGGCGATGTTTACACACCGCACCAGGTACTCATTTGAGGCCGAATCGACCTAGCGGAGGCCCAGGACCGGTCCAGCTGATCGTCACTGGTGTTGGCCGTGAGCGGGAGTCAAACCCGGCTCGCCAAGTACGGAGCGCAGTGCGCGAACCGCTACACTGCCGCTACCCGAAAACACTTACGCACAACACTTCTCACCTGTCTTGCAGGGACCTCGTTTTTTCCTGCAGGACCGTGGGCTCCCACTGAGGCACCTCGTGGCCAATCTGGCTGGCACCGAGCCGGTGGCCCCAAACGTCCACGGAGAGTGCCTCCTCTGTGAGCACGTCCTGCAGCTCCTCCGACACTGGCAGCGAGAACTCCTGCGTGGCGAACGCGCGCGCAGCGAAGATAAAGACGAGATGCCCACCGTGTAGAGGCTTCAACATACATACATGCAGATGTTTGGGGCAAGCGCTGTTAACGAGCACCCGCGATGGCCGTCACGGCACACGAGGGGGTGGGTGAGCAGCACCACGCTTGACAGCCTTTGTCTATATATCTTAGTTCTTTCGGTAAAGTCACGTTGAAGGGAAACAACAAAATAATAAAATATATTATTATTTTGTTGTTTCCCTTCAACGTGACTTTACCGAAAGAACTAAGAATATGAATTACTGCAGTCACGAAAGCTTTAAATCAGCCTTTGTCTACCCAGTGCTGATGTTTAGGCACTGCACCAGCCAAGCTGAGTTTGAGAAGGCCGGCTGAGAACCAGCTCACATATCTGTCACCAATTTTGTCTGCGAGTGCGAATTGAACTCGGATCGCCGGGCAATCCTAGCGGAGTGCGCTCAACACCGCACCACCGCTCGCAAGGAAACATACACACTCGTATGCGTCAACACAAACATAAACACACTACACAACACCGGCCACCATTTGCACTTCGAGTTGGCGAGGCCACGGCACTTGGTGCAGGCCAGGCGCAGCTTGAGCGCACAGACTCCCCCCCGTCGTGCGGAACATGGGAGTTATTTGACCGTACTTCACCACCCTGGTCAGTGCAGATTGGTGAAGGCGGGAGGGAGCATAGCATTTTTTAGCACAGCAATGGATGGTGCAGCAGTGCCCTCATCTGGCCAAGGCGCAGCACCGCGGCACCTGTGGATGACGCGTGTGTGCCTGTTGGTCACCGTGCGGCACAAACGGGTCACCCTATCCAGCACGGTGCCACGTACGCACGGTGCTGTAAAAGTGCCGCCATGCGCCGGCACTTGTCTGAACGGTTCCTACTCCTAGGCCGCGGTGATTCCGCAGGGAGGGAACGGCAGTGACCGTGGGATGCTGCAGGCTAACACCAGGCCCCATAGCGGCGCTTCTACGCTCACATTTCCGCCGTTGCCTGTACATGCACACACGCACGTACAGGACGTCACAAAGACACCACACGTAGTCTGCACATACTCTTGGGGCAGGCGCTGTTAGCGAGCACCGTTGAAAGGTTGGTACGGCACACGAGGGGGGTGGGTGGGCACCATACCAGACTGCCTTTGTATCCCAAGAGCAGATGTTTTACACGGCACACCAGGTACTCACTGAAGGCTGAGTCGACACAGGGAAGGCCCAAGACAGGTTCAGGCATTCGTCACCAATGTTGGGCGTGAGCGGGAATTGAACTCGTGTCACCGGTAGCGCGTTGCGCTAACCACTACAATGTACAAGGCTGAACAGACTGTTAGCGAGCACCTATAAAGGCCGGCACGGCACGGCACACGAGGGGGTGGGTGGCCAACTCCACACCCGACCGCCTTTGTCTCCCCAGTGGCGATGTTTACACAACGCACCAGGTACTCATTTGAGGCTGAGTCGTCCTAGGGGAGGCCCAGGACCGGTTCAGATAATCGTCACTGGTGTTGGCCAAGAGCGGGAATCGAACTGGGGACGCCGGTTTCGTAGCGCAGCGTAGCGCTAACCGCTACTACACTACCGCTCCCCACACTACAATGTACACGCGCATACAGGCACGCACCTGAGTGTGGTCGAAGCGGACCGTGGCCGGGCCTGAGCAGGCCACGGGGGACGGAGAGTCGGGGTTGATCTGGGGCGGCACCGTCACGACCTGCTTGTGGCCCCACACCGAGTACTGGCAGAACACGAAGTGAGCGAGCTCGGCCGGTAGCCCCACCGCCTCCTTGATGCGCACCTACAGCACAAGGCGCACGCGCCCAGCGTGAGCACGCGCGCCCGCGCGCCCGCACGCAAAACACCAACACTAAGGGGCGCCACTTTCCCATTCGCCCTGCTACAAACACTCGTTCATCGCTCGACGGTCAAACCGAAATGTATTTTTTTACTTGTACAAATTATGCAGGCGACTAAATTGATTGTAATGTTCGTTTGTGTAGTCACTGGTGGCGAGGCTGAGACTATCAACTCGGCACAGGCGCCACGGTGGCGAGACAATGACTACCTCGCCTGGTATGCAGGAGGTCGTGGGTTCGATCCCGACCCACACGCCTGTATATTTGGAGTTTGCATGTTCTCTGCGTGGCCACGTGGATTTTCCCTCCACATTTCAAAGAAACATGCGTTTAGAGTATTTGGCTTCCATAAAATATCCACGTGATAAGCCGCTTTGTTGAGCTATCATTTGTGGCCAGGTGCGTTTCTGAAAAACAGCTACATAGCTCAGTGGGGCCTTACCTTGTAAAATAAAAAAAGTTTTTTTTAATTATATCTGGAATTTTTCCCCAGGCCTTCAAAAACCTTTCGATGGCCCTGCTTAGGTGTATCCATGTACAGTAACGTCAGAGTGCGGGCCAGCGCATCTCTCTGTACGCCTATCGCACCCGCGTTGGCGCTCGCACGCGCTTGCAAGCACCGACGCGCACGAGCGTTTAACTTATCAAACTGGGATTTGTGCACATTTTTTTTGTACGCAGCATAAACACACGGTGCTTTTTTTCTTGAAGATTTCAATTCTTTTTATAGAAGATGTTTAAATTTGCGTGCAGTCTATTTTTAAATGTGTCTTGTAATTTTATTGTTGTGTTGCGGTTGCACCCGAATCAAGAGCCGAATGGCTCACAGGGTAAAACAAAATAAATGAAATGGGGAAAAAAAACCGAAGTGAAATGAAAACTAGATACAGTAAAACCTTGGATTGCGAGCATAACACGTTTCCGGAAACGTGTTTGTAATCCAAAGCACTCGTATATCAGTTGTGATCACGTGACGCCCGGCAGACAAAGCGTATACGTACCGCTCGTGTTGCAAGACCTCGCTCGTTTATCAAATCAATATTTCATTTAAACATTTTGCTCGTCTTGCAAAACACTCGCAGACCAAGTCACTCGCAATCCAAGGTTTTTTACTGTAGTTTAGTTTAGCTCAATACGTTTCAGCACCCCAGGTTAATCACAGGCAGCAAAGCTCAGCGCTGCGACCTCGGAGCCGCACGGCCAATCCCCTGAGCCAAGTGCCCCTCGCGGGAGCGCACCTTGAAGACCAGCTGGCGGATAAAGCCGGCGTCCCCACTGTCGCTGCTGCCATCCGACTCATCCGAGGGGTCATCCCCGCCTGCCATGCGGTCAGGGTCCGGCCCGCTCACCCGCTGCAGCTCCATGTGCAGGCGGCCTGCAACCTGTGCCCAGCGCCGCACACAAAGACAGCCTTAACAGACTGTTGGGGCAAAGTGTGCTGTCAGCGAGCACCTATGAAGGCCGGCACGGCACACGAGGGGGTGTGTGGCCAGCACCACGCCCAGCCGCCTTTGTCTCCCCAGTGGCGATGATTACTCACTGCGCCAGGTACTAATTTGAGGCTGAGACGACCTAGGGGAGGTCCAGGACCGGTTCAGATAATCGTCACTGGCGTTGGCCTTGAGCGGGAATCGAACTCGGGTTGCCAGGTTAGCAGCACAGCATAGCGCGCTAACCGCTGCGTCACCACTCCCCACACACGCACAGACCCACACCGCAAAGCCTCAGGAGTCAAAAGCCCGCGATTCATGTCACGACGGAAACCATTCTGCTGCCGCCGTGTGACAGCGTGACAGATGCGGTGGTGGGGGAGTAGGAGTACAAAACATTCCCCCGCCATTCGTCTCAATGCATTCGGCCACTTGCGGAACGCATTCTGCATGGCTGGATGCACCGGAGTGGACAGGACTGAAGAGCAGCTGGGACAGGGCCAGCGAGAGGTGGAATGTCCCCAGAAAACATTGTCTCCGCACGGGGGGTGGGGGAACACAGCATTCTGTTGCACGAGGGGGAGTGAATCGGGGGGGGGAGAGGAGGCGTTGCGAGATATTTCACACTTTCCTCGACTTTCAATGCTCTCTGAATAACGGTGAAAGCATTTAGGCAGTGGCTTGGTCCGTGTGTTCATAACAGGAGGGGCGAGCACAATAACTGTCATATGATCCAATATAAATGAAACTGTTTGGTTGAACTTGTGTTGCTGTTGGGGACTACCTTGATTGAAATCCAGACCAATCGATCAAAGGGGTTGTTGTTTTGTCCAACACATGGAGACATCCACCGGAACAAAAAGCACCGTCGAAAAAAGGCAAATGCATGCCGCTCCATAATCCAAACTTGTATTCAATCCGTTCGCAAAGTTGTCAATCAGGTAACAAAATTAAGGTTTTTTTTCCTTACTCTTCCCGTTTCCCATTCATATTTGATGTTATAATGACATTACTAAAGTCATTTACAACGCGTTTTTCTGACACAGAACTGTAAAACACAACAGATTATGTGTACTATGTGATTATTCGTACTTGTGACAGCTATTGAAGCTGTCCTGAACACGCTTGTTCTTCATTTGAAGGTGGACCAAGATAAAAACGATGAATTAATGAGGTTGATCATGAAAAGCAACTTACCAATATATATACAAAAAGTTAAGGTTATAATCTGTGCACATTGCCGGCTATGACGCATAGATCTATAAATATGACATTGGTGAAAAATTTGGAATAAAAATAACCATGTGAGCAGAGCAGCATTGAGAGACAGGAAGAGGAATGTACGGGGTTAGAGAAGATCACATCGACTAAGAGCGGGCTTGGTCAGGACAAGTCACTCATAGGCCCATGAGTGAGCACAACGCCAGATTGGCAGACAGAGGAGGGGACGTGCCCGAGAAGACTTCCACCACGGGGATGGAGCAATGAAATCAGCTCGCGTGCAGGAGCTATAAGGATCGCTACATCGCACGACTGTGAGATATTAAATGAAACAGCTTGATTAATACTACCAGGTAAGGCTCTCACTCGGCTGCATAGCTCTTTATCAGAAGTGACCTGACCACAAACGGTAGCTCAACGAAAGTGGCTTATCATGTGGAAACGTATCGCACGTTTCGCAATGTGGAGGGGGAAAAACCAGGGGCCCCGGAGAAAAATCCAAGCGACCACGGGGAGGCAGACATGCAACCTCAAAATACACGGGCACCAGGGTCGAGATCGAACCCAGGGATCTCCTGTAAACCACGCGAGGTAGTTAACATCCCGGCAGCTTGGGAAGGCCCGCACGCAGCAGCCGGCCAACTGACGAAGGCTGACGACAACGAGGACAGCGGCTCGTGCCCTCCCGGGGGCTGACGCGCGCGCGGCCACTCGTGCGGCCACTCGCCTCGCCCTGCTGGTTGACGATGGGCGCGGCGTAGGCGAGCCGCACGTCGTGCATCAGGCTCTCCAGGAAGAGGTTGGCCACGCCGATGAGGTCGTGCTCCACCTGCGCCTCGAAGAAGGGGTCGTCCGCGCCGCGCGCCCCCGCGCCCTGAGGACGGCAGCGACGGAGGAGGAGGAGGAGGAGGAGCCGGGTAAGCGGCGTTACCGCGACGACAGGCGGCAAGGGCGCGCGAACCTCCCGCCGCACGCGCCCAGCACCGCGATCCGTCCCACCGTACGCCGTTACCCCCGAGCGAATGTGGACACCACCGGAGCGCCCGGTGTCCGCTTTAGGCCGAGTCGGCCTGCAAAGGGGCCGCGCCCACCGTGCCCGGGTTCGGACACCGAACAGCTCGGTGTGGCAGGAGGTATTCGCGCCATTCTTGTCGGGCGAGGCTATCACGAAGGTAGCCGTAGTTGCGCAGTACGGGGTGACGTCGCTTTTACCCAAGGGGCACCTCCCATGCCGGGTTCAGATACTGAAAGGCGCCGGCGAGGCCCAGGGACCCGGAATGAGCCAAAATGCACAAGGAGCACCCAACCGTCCCAGCTGAGGCCCGAGCGATGGCTGGGGAAAGCGCTGTTGGAACCACCCAGGCAGGTGTGCCCACTTGGTGGGGAGAAGGTGGAGGTGCCATGCCCCACTCACAGCGAAGATATACGAGCAGGTGGGCACGGTGAATTGCCATCAGATGTCGGTTCACAGATGCTGTGGGCACCACAGTACACACGCATGTACCTGAACACAGGTCAGTAGGTATTCGCGGCAAGATTATTCCGCAAGGCCATCACGAAGGTGGCGGTGTTTCACAGACGTGGTGTGCTTTTATCCAGTTAAATAATTTTCCATGCAGGAAACATTTTTACTGCTGCAGCGCATTTGGGAAAGTGCAGCCTGGTGTGCGTGCGTGCGTGTGTGTACCATGTGTGCGTCACATGTGTGCGTGCGTGTGTGTACCATGTGTGTGTGGGGAGCGGTAGTGTAGTGGTTAACGCGCTGCGCTATGAACCTGGCGACCCGGGTTCGATTCGCGACGATTATCTGAAGCGGTCCTGGGCCTCCCCAAGGTCGACTCAGCCTGAAATGAGCACCTGGTGCGGTGTGTAAACATCGCCACCGGGGCGACAAAGGCGGCCGGGCGTGGTGTTGGCCACCCACCCCCTCGTGTACCGTTCCGGCCTTCAGCACTTGCCCCAACAGTCTGTTAAGGCTATAACGGGGGATCTTATGTACCATGTGTGTGTACCATGCGTGTGTACCATGTGTGTGTACCATGCGTGTGTACCATGCGTGTGTACCATGCGTGTGTACCATGCGTGTGTACCATGTGTGCGTGCGTGCGTGCGTGTCGGGTCACCAATGGGTCGTAGTTGCTCTGCTTCCAGTTCTGGTAGAGATCCCGCATCACCACGAGCCGATTCTCCAGCTTCTCCAGCGACCACAGCTGCGTGCCCTGCCCCTGCCGCCGCACCTGCACCGCCGGCTCGCTCACCAGCATGCCGCGCTGCACCCGGCGCACACGTCAGCCAAACCGCACCGCACCGCGTCTGCTCCGTTGCGCGGTCCTCGGCCGTCTCCTCAAACTTCATTGATCATGAAGCGTCGGCGAAGGACCGTTGCGCGCAAACGTGCGACCTCTTGCGACAGCGTTCGCCTGAACTGCTCTTGCTGCCGTACACCGGCGTCACGAGTAAGTTGTTTAATCCACGGTTCATGTGGGTGGGGTGGGTGGGGTGGGGGGGGGGGGCACCACGGACGGGAGGGGGGGGGGGGTGGCGCCATTCCTTTGAGGGTCGCAGTCCACTGCGGACCTCGACCCCCAACTGAATGTGAAATAAAACCTCCTCCAATCTACTGCCCTCCTTCTTCTTCTCCTTGCCTGTGCCGCATGTTAACTTGCCGCGTCGTGCTTTGTGCTCGCGCTGTGTGCTGCAGTCTATTTGACGCTCGCCGCTGACAGAATCCTCGTCCACGCAGACCGCGGTAGAGGGCACCACGTCACCAATCCTGGATCAATTTTCAAGATAACGCTCTCGCGAATCGGACGCAACGTTCCATCGAGGGACTCGCAGAGCCCGAGCTCAAAGTCCCTCATATGCCAGCATGCACAAGTGAGCCTTGAGCTGCTGCTAGAAGGTGGGTTGGTGCTTGGTCGCTGATTGTGTCCAGTGGGAGAGAGTTCCAGACTAAAACTATACAAATTTTTTATGAAGCTATTTTTATTTTACCAGGTAAGAAGCAATGAGCTATGTAGCTCTTTTCCACAAGCAACGTGGCCATAAATGATAACTCAACGAAGTGGCTTATCACGCGGAAATGTATAGCAGCCAAATACTCTAAATGCACGTTTCTCTAAGTGTGGAGGGAAAAACCGGAGGACCCTGAGAAAAATCCACGCGATCACGGGGAGAGAGACACGCAAATTCCAAATATACAGCAGGCGTCAGGGTCGGGATCGAACCCACAACCTCCTGTATACCAGGCGAGGTAGTTAACATCTCCTAGCCACCGCGACACCCTGGTGCACCTAGCAACTTCAAGGGCCGCCCCGCCCCCCTCCCCCCGGCGGCGCCGCCGCGTGCGTGGCTCACCTTGCTGTGGGCGCGAAGGCTGCCGGCGGGAATCTGCAGCGTCACCTGGAAGTCGGTGCATCTGCTCATCTCCTCGCTCAGCAGGTTCGCCTCCCACACGAGGGCGTCGGCACGCACGATCTGCTCGCGCAGTCGCGCCAGGCTCTGCCTGAACTGTTCATCCCTGGCGCAGGAGAGCGAAAGGTTTCGGGGAGTCGCAAAGAAAGACAAGAGGGGAGAAACGTTTAGTCGGGAAACCAACAGTCCCGAAGGGCGATTCATTTTTTTATTTATAAAATAGTAGACTCTCGATTATCCGCGTTCGGTTTATCCGATTTGCGAATTAACCGCGCACCTGAGATTTTGAGAAAAAATTAATACTGCACGGATTTTCCCTTGAGCCCCAATTAATAATGTAAAGGGAGTTATACATTGTTATTCTGGGAAATGTTTATTACAAGTCACGTGCTTAAACCAAACAAATATATGTGCTCCAGTTAATCAGAAATCCATGTGATTGCCTCTACAGTACAGTAGTTGCATTTGATTGATGTTGATTGGCGTGCCTCTGCTGTCATCCACTTAGTGGACTGAGTCTTCTGCGCGGCAGCAGGAAAGTGTCATCACTGAGAACGCGCATCGATCGGTCGATCGTTAGTATGCGTTCAAACAATCGAAAGAGTAACAATCGAAATGGTCAGTTGTGCTTCATTTTTAGTGATTTATCCGACCATTTATTGTGCGAGTTTTAATTTATGAAACTGTGCAATGCCAGAGAAACCCCTATATTAGCGTTTTTTGGCATTGAAATCCAAGGAAAAATGGTATTTTTGGATTATCCGCGATTTTGAATAATCCGCGGCCATCCTCCCCATCATTCACACGGATAATCGAGAGTCTACTGTATGAGCATTTATTTTTTTATTTTTTCAAGAGCCAAGGGACACGGTGGGAACCTCAAAGGGTGGGCGAGACGGCGTGCAACAAGATGTGCGATTGACATAGCGAGTCACTGCACCCTCGTGATTAGCGAAGGGATGAGTGAGGGCACCTGGACTCGCTGCCCTACCATGGCAGGGGCATAGATCAGGGACACAAATTATTTCAAGGGGGAAGGAAATAGGAAAAGAGGGCAGGGAAGCGGGTGAAGATTGTTTCTTAGGGGGGGGAGTGGGGGGGGAGAAACATGAATTCCTGGGGGAAAACTCAGATATTCAGCGGGGAACGTACAAGGTGCGTACGGCCCTCCGCGTGGCGACGGCACCTCACCTCTCCTGGGCCCACAGGCTGAGGCGGTGCTGCGTGCTGGGCAGCATGGAGAGGCGCGGGGAGGCCCCGTGGCGCGCGCCGGGCCCCGCGTGCCTCTCGGGCGCCAGCGCCTCCCGCAGCGAGCGCAGCTCCGTCTCGTACATGGCCCTCTGCTCGAGCAGCGCCGCCTCCTTGTCCTGCTCGTACTGACGCTCCAGCGTGCGCACCACGCTCTCCACCTCCACGCGCGCTGCCGGGGGACGCAGGGGACAGCGCTGCTCAACGACCGCTCGCGCAAACTCGAGCCCCGCAGCGAGTGTGACGACGATGACGATGATGGTGATGATGGTGATGATGGTGATGGTGATGATGGTGAATGGCGGTTGCTTTGTGTGAATATATGCATCTACGATCATTTTTCATAAATTAATGTATATTCAAATAGCGGTAGTGTAGCTGTTAGCGCGCTGTGCTACACGCCCGGTGACCCGAGTTCAATTCCCAATGATGGTCAATACCGGTGACGATTATCTGAATCTGTCCTGGGTCATCTCCTATGTCGGCTCAGCCTCAAATGAGTATGTGGTGCGGTGCGTAAACGTTGAAACTGGGAAGACAAAGGCTGTCGGGTGGGGTGCTGACCACCCACCCCCTCTGGTACCTTGCCGGCCTTCACAGGTGCTCACTGACAGCATGTGCTCCAAAAGTAAGTTATGGCTAAACGGGGGATCATTGTCTTTATCATACATTCGTGCATCTACATGTGCGAGTCTGATGGTGTGTAGACGTTAATTTTTTATTTTAGTTTTCAAACACAGTTGCTCACCATGGGCCCAAATTCCCAAAACGTCAAGCGGCCAAGCGACCGTCAACGTTTCTCGAATTGAGAAAAATTCTAAGAGCTTGGGGAAAAAAAAAAAAGACAATGGGGAGGGGCATTCCCAAACGTGTATTTGGGCACGTGCGCGCGTGCGTGCGAGCAGCGGGCACCGCTCGTGCCGACAAACCCACCGCTGTGCCGACAAACCCACCGAATTGAGAAAAATTCTAAGAGCTTGGGGAAAAAAAAAAAAGACAATGGGGAGGGGCATTCCCAAACGTGTATTTGGGCACGTGCGCGCGTGCGTGCGAGCAGCGGGCACCGCTCGTGCCGACAAACCCACCGCTGCTCGACGTCGGAGTCTGCGCGATCACCTCCATCTGAGCAAACTCGAAGGTGCAGGGGGGTTCGGGCGAGTCCTGGGCCAGCCCTCGACCCTCCGCCGGGTCCTCCCACTCCTCCGGCTCTTGGCCTTTCCCGGCAGCCGCCTCTCCGCTCCAGCCGGGAAAGCCCGTCGCCGCGGGGCTCGCGGCCCTCCGCTCACGGTGGCACCGCGGCAGGTTCACCCTGCACGAGTGCGCGCAAAGCCCGACGGGTTGGTGGTCAAGGTTGGGGTCAGGCTTTTCTCAACAGGCGACCCGCAGTCCAGATGGAGCACGACAAGGCCCCTGGGGAGAGCCGAGCTACGGCCTGCCAAGAGATGCGGCTCGCGGTATCGAGGTGTTAACTACCTCGCCTCGCATGCAGGAGGTCGTGGGTTCGATCCCAACCCTGCCGCGCGCTGTACATTTGGAGTTTGCGTGTCGCTCTCTCCATGGTCGGATTTTTCCCCTGGTACTCTGGTCTTCCCTCCACAATTCGAAAACATGCGTTTTAGAGTGTTTGGCTGATAGACATTTCCACGCGATAAGTCATGTCGTTGAGCTTTCATTCGCTTCTAAAAAAGAGCCGTGTAACTTTCTTTCTTTAGAGAAATATTTTTTTAAAATTTGTAAAGGGAAACAAATTATAGTGAGATGAGAGAGAACACATTCCTGTGGAGGGAGCTGGTAGGAACGTTGGGTTGCTCGATCAATGGCCAGGGTCAACGGCGGCACCACCACGTGGTGTATTCCGCAAATATGCCCGACTGTGAGGGCGGGCACAAGCCGGCGTGAGTAGGTTAAACGTTGAGTTTTATAAGGGCACCACGGGGTGACCAGCCCCTCCCCACCCAGCCCCACCCCTCCCACCCAGCCCCACCCCACCCTCCCCACCCAGCCCCACCCCTCCCTTCCCACCCTCCCCTCCCCTCCCAGCCCCTCCATCTCCACCCAGTCCCTCCCCACCCTCCCCTCTCCACCCAGCCCCATCCCTCCCATTTTTGGATGCACGACGGACAGACGGACACAATAATCCCCTGTGGGCTGGTGTAACCAGGAGGTTCCTACCAGTATAAACAAGAGCTAGAGATGCGAGGACTGTAGACAAGAGATACAGACCAGTGAGACAGAACAGAGATAAAGCGATGTAAATCACAGACCTGGAAGCAAGTTGTTACGACGTCACGATGCCATGTGACATCACAACGGCTGTACAAGTGATACACGGTGTCACGTGGCCCATCGGTCCATGCAAACGTTTACAGTGGCCAGTTGAAGAAGCCTGGGTTAGAGTTGCATGTATGTATGTAGAATTTATTTCACACCGTACGTAGCAGAGGTGCTGGATGTATGCATGTGTCTGGATGGTGCCAGCAGGTTATCCAGTGCAGCTGATAACAGGAGCGGAGATACCGGCAGAATATGTCCTCCTGACATTTTTTTCTTTTGAATTAATAATAACAAGAACTAAAAATACATTACGATCATGAAGCACCTTTCTACAAGTTAATTAAGGTGCCGAGTACGTTTCAAAAACGCAGGACGGGTTTCACAGCGCGAGAGGGCGCAACTCACGAGGCCATTTTCAACGGGGGAAATTAAACCAATTGAGCTCAATAATTTGAGTGAACCATTACGAACACAACACAGACTGCACGATTTGTCTCACAACACGGCACACACTGCAGCACCTCGATGGGGGTGGTTCAGCCTTTGATGAGAGCAGTTGCGTTCAACCAATGTGTACGAGCTCAGCCGCCGATGGAAGAGGCTGCACGTTGACTCGAGGCAATGAATGCCCACAATGCGGGAAGCCAAGAGCGGCTGCTTTACCCACAGACTGACTCCCGGCACAGGAGCTGGGAATTTCCACCACTGCCGACACCCGGACACTCATGTCAGCGGAAAGCCTCGCTCACTTTCGTATTCAAGACGCTAACCGTGGCCAACCCAGTATCACAATTCTTTGGGATCCATCATCCTGCCAGGTGAAGCTCAGAATGGAATATCCCTTGCTATCAAAACAATGCATTAAGCAATACATTTAGTTGAAATCAGCATGAAACCACGTATCCGTGTAAAGCCTAATCCAATGATTTCATGAATTTTTTTTGCAAACGGGATGAATTTCTGCATGGCTCCGAGATTGCGTATGTATCTGTATCCATTAAAATGATGATGATGATGATCATGAGGACGACGACGACGGAGCGGCACCTGAAGAAGTGGTTGTTGCCCCAAAGGATGCGGTCACCGTGCCACAGCTTTGTGGACACCGTCACGGCGGCACCGTTCACACACGTCCTGGCCCAGCGACGCAAAGCGCACGCACAAAAAACAACGGGACCAATTTGAGCGAGGCACAGGTAAAGAAGGTGAATTGTGCTTTAAAATGTTAGACACGGTTATACGAGATATGTAATATGTAACTCTTCTGGAAAGGAAAGTGACTGGGCTAGCCACGATCGGGTGGGTGTCTGTCGCATACTGCAAGTGTGTGTGTGTGTGTGTTTTTAACAGATGCTGAGCACAGGCCCACAGGCCCAAAACGCCAAGCATCCATAAACAAACAGCCCCAATCAGCAGTGCTAGTGGATAAGAGTGAAGAGGTTCGTGGATAAAGCGCGACTGTGAGAGCTCAGCGAGCGAGGGGGTGAGTGGGCGTGGTACCGTGCCCCCTCCCGCGGGGTCAGGGTGACCGTGCCCTCGCCGTCCATGGTGATGGTGCAGTGCTGCGCCAGGATGCCCAGGCCACACAGCTGCACGTCCTGCGAGTCGTCCGCCCCCACCAGGGTGTGCTCCTGCTCGCGTACGCACGCACGCACGCACGCAAAGACAAAGATCCCCCGTGTAGCTTTAACAGACTGTCGGGGGCAAGTGCTTTTAGCGAGTGCCTATGAAGGCCGGCACGGCACACGAGGGGGTGAGTGGCCAACACCATGCCCGACCGCCTTTGTCTCCCCAGTAGCGATGTTTACACACCGCAACCGCACCAGGTACTCATTTGAGGCTGAGTCGACCTCGGGGAAGAGGCCCAGGACCGGTTCAGATATTAGTCACCGGTGTTGGCCGTGAGTGGGAATCAAACTCGGGTTGCCGGGTTTGTAGGGCAGCGCGCTAACCGTTGCACTACAGCTCCCCAGGAAACGACAGGGCCCGCACAAGATGAACACAAAGATACGTCAGTTTGCCTTTGGGATTGTGAGCGTGCCACATCAATCGAAGTCTCCATCACAAACAACGGGCCACGTGTTTGGCCCGTTTCGCCAATGACGTGAGCGTGCAATTGTGGGCAATTGCGTGATAGGTATGAAAAAGGTCCCATGTTGTGTGATAGATGTGTACACCGAGGTGGTCCAACACATAGTTGGGAGGTGGTCACAGGCGGGGGGACAGCGTGCAACCGTTACCTTAAGGTAGTAGACCAGCAGCTCGTTGAGGGCCGGGTCTGCGTTGAGGTTGACCAGGAAGCTCTTGTCGTCGCCCACCTTGATGCCCGAGGAGGCCAGAGAGATTCCGAGGCTCTCCAGCTGCCGCTGCCGTTCCTTCAAAAGCACAAAGGCAAAGGTCCCCCAGGCGGCCGTTAATTGACCGTTATGGCAAGCGGTTATAGCACATGTACACGCAGACACATTCAAATCTAACAACCGCCATTCACCACTAATTAGCGGTGGCATCACCACGGCGCTTGTGCCATGCTTGGTGCACTTTGAGGCCGCGTGAAGTGTCGAAGGCTCGCCGCTGGCAGGAAGTCACGGAACAGACCCAGGTGCCATGGGCTGACTGACTGAGATGACTGGCAGATACGCCAACTGTGCTGCTCACCGTGGGTGAATTGAAAAACAAAGCTCAAAGACCCCCCCCTGTATAGCCTAAACAGACTTTGTTAGGGGGCACCTATGAAGGTCGGCATGGCACACAAGAGGGTGGGTGGCCAACACCATTCCCAGCAGCCTTTGTCTTCCCAGTGGCAATGTGTACGCACTGCACCAGATGTTAATTTGAGGCCGAGTCGAGCTACACACGGAAATATACACACACACACTCAAATACACTCATGCACCCGCACAGACACGGCAGCCATCATACAGCGGTGGATTCATCACGGTTGATGTGCGAGCTATGCTATTTCAAATCTAGACTGAAAACTCATTTGTTTAGAACTGCTTTTTGTCTTGAGTTTGTCGCCCTTCCCCGTGCCTCCAATAATCACGGTTGGCTATGTACGGTGCGAAAGAAGCTCAGCATACACACACATACACACCTGTGCAACCTCCTCGGTTTTGCGTAGCTTCTGCTCCCAAGTGACGGTCATCTCCTTCATCAGCTTCTCGCTCTCCTGCAGTCGCTCCTGCAGCTCCGGGGCCTTCATGGACTGTGGTGGAGGGAGGCACACATAGACGTCGGGAGACGCCGGGAGACGCCGGGAGACGCCGTGAGACGCGCCGTGAGACGCAGTGAGACACCGCCGTGAGATGCTACCGCGAGATGCCATGAGACACTGTGAGATGACGCCGTGAGATGCTGTGACGACGCCGTGACAACGACCCCCTGTGTGGCCTAACAGGGGCTGTCAGGGCCTACGCTGTCAGCAAGCACCTGTGAAGGCCGGCACGCCGTGTGAGGAGGTGGAGTGGCCGGGAAAAAACTACAAACTTACCCTCTTGAAATCGTGCCAAATTGATTGCAATACTTGGCGATACAAACCTAGAGAAAGCAGACTCTTTGAAAATACCAAAATGCATTTTCCCATACTGCTAATTAAATAATGAAAAAGGATAAGGATTTGCATTTAGATGGCCTTGAAATGCCTAAGCATCTCAGAGTGCCTTACGATGGCATCACATTGCTGTGTAGTTCTCTTCCAGTTAACTGTCTGTAATAAAATAAAAATGCGTGTTAAAAAGCGTTACATAATCCGCTCGTACGCATGGCTAATTTGTTTCTATCAGTCATTCGGATGACAATTGCTCAATCGACGTGGCAATGCATCCTGCAACATCTTCCCCCACGCATGCACAACAATTTCAGTTTCATTTATTTGGTATAGCCCTGTGAGCCATTCGGCTCTTGAATCGGGTGCAACCGCAACAAACAAAAAACAAAAACATGAACAAGGAAACATCTTAAAGTGACTACGTGACTGTGCAAACAGAAAATCCTGGAAAAAACAGCACTGCACCCACAGTGAACTTTGAACTCTTCTTTAACCATAATAAATGTTTGTTGGGTTAGATCGCTTTGATGTAAATGTGTCGTTACAATGGCCACCACCGACATAGCCAATTAGTAAGGTTTGTCACGTAATGAATTACTAGCACAGCACACCGGTGTGTTGGAGAGTAAAACCAACAACATTTACAATTCGAGTATGAGATATCCGTGGTGATTACAACCAGCTTGTTGTGGTTTTACTCTCCGACATGCCGGTGCGCTGAACTGGTAACTAATCGGCACGTTTTGTTTACGTGACAAACCTTACTAATTGGCTGTGTGACAGGTGGTGGCGGGTTTAACGACACATTTATATATTCACGCGATCCAACCCAAAAAAAACACTTTATTATGGATAACAGCGGTCGCGAAAGCCTCCTAACTACGTGTTAATCTACTTTAACCCCCCGTGTTGTGTCCTCCGCGACGCGACGCCTCATGGCGTCGCTGGGAGTTTCCGCTCCTTCCCGGGCCCCCCGCCGCGCTCACCTCGGCCTGGTTGAGCTGGCCCCTCAGCTTGTCCACCTCGTCGCGTAGCTCGCGGATGATGCGGGCGTTGGGGTCCTCGTTGACGACGGCGTGGTTGACGATGCGCTTGGCGCGGTCGGCGTAGCGCAGCGTCGACAGCGTCTCCTCGTAGTTGTCGGCGGAGGGGCTCACCGTGGCCACCATTGCCGTGCGGCTGTTCCCGCCCAGGTTGTCCTGGCAACGGCGACAGTCGGGAAGGGGGCTTTTGAGGACGTTCTAGGCGTCGCATGATTCGCGCGGGGGAAATCGATGTGGATCGGACTCGAACGCTCTCTGTCAAATGATGAAAACAAGCCCGTTTAACAACGCGTTATGACCGTAATAGCGCTCTTTCCATAATGCCTTGCATGTCACGTGACACCACCACACTGCGTGTAGAATGCACACAGCCTTGCTTAGACCACCAACTCGAGTCAGCATTTGCCTACTTTATTTCGGCTACAGCACGACAACGAGACAACTGCATTCTGGCTTTTATTCCTGTGAGGAATCGTCACTACAATAACATTTCGCCATTATCGGCAAGTAATGCATCATGCCTCCGGAGCTGTAGGAGGACAAGTCCTTGCTGATGGCTAAACTGTACAGGTGATTGCGAGCAACACTGACACCTGCACTGAGGGGTTGTTTTTTTGTTTACAGTGCATGCAAAGTATATGGAAACTGCTGTGAATGTTACAATTATGTAAATAGTACGAACAAGACAGAGCATCAGAGATAGGCGATACAAATGAGACGTAGAAAATAAAAGGTAAAATAATCGATTCTTGACTTGATAGGACATCTAACAGTATTGTGGTATGGTTCAATCATGCATTCTTACGAGATACACACAAAGATTAAGATACCTCCATAGAGCGTATAACAACACTGTTGGGGCAAGTGCCGTTAGCAAGCACCTATTAAGGCCAACATGGCATACTAGGGGGTGGGTGGTCAGCACCAAGCCCGGTCACGCCTTTGTCTCCCCAGTGGCGATGTTTACCACGCACCGCACCAGGTACTCATTTGAGGCTGAGATGACTTAAGGGAGGCCGAGGACTGGTTTAGACAATCGTCACTGGTGTTGGCCGTGAGCGGGATTCGAACTGGGTAGCTAGGTTCATAGCGAAGCGCGCTAACCGCTACACTACCGCTCCCCAAGCAAGCGCTCGCACACTCATCTGTCTTGCAGGGACCGTTATTGGCCGTGAGCAGAAATCCCCATCCGTTGTCCATCGCCCCGAACCTCCGATTAGCACGGTTGGCTACGTAAGGTGGGCGAACGAAATTTAACGTACGTACGTACGACGCGCACGCACACACGCACCTTTAGGAGCCAGGTGAGCACAGAGTCGCGGTACGGCACAAACTTATTCTTGTTCTTCCCAGCCGCCTGGTCAGCGAGCGAAGAAATAACCAATCCCAGCGTGGAGAGAGACCTGCACAGGCAGACGGCGTGAACAGCGGGCATCGCGAGGATGTGGCGCCAACGTCACCCCCGGTGCCTGCACCACGGTCGGCAAAAACCCGCGTTCACACGGATAGTGCCGCGCGGCTTGTAGGTGCGATGGTGTAGGGACAGGCTCAGGTATTATGGGACTGCTGGATGGAATGGCTGATATCACCATTGTCTCTCTCCCTGAGCCACCGCCTATAAACAAGGCACCCAAAATAGCCAGAGGCTCAGCTGGGCTGAGCTTGGACAATGCTTGGATGTAGGCCCACAATACATTGAATCGATGCAATGGGCTGCTTGCTGGTCTTTGACGTGAGTAGAGAATCCATTGTTGCGCCACTAGAGAGACAAAGGCGGCCGGGCGTGGTGCTGGCCACGCACCCCCTTATGAAGGCCGATACTGTGCACAGGCTATATGGGAAATCTTTGTCTTTGTATGTGTGTGTGTCAAGGCCGTAATTATAATATATATTGGGGGGGACACATCCCCCCCAATATATATGAAAATATGCTCAAAATGTCCCCCCCCAATATATTGTTATAAAATAGATTTCTGTTTATATGATTGTGGTTATGGTTGTACTTTATCAATCCCTAATCTCTGCCATTACATACAATGAAACAATGAAAGGTCAAAAAGAAAAAAACAGAGCAATGTAATACAATACACTATTAGACATTATTGTAAAACATAAATAAAAGGTCCATCCTATGATTTTTAAAAATCGTTTAGGCAGGAAATTCGTTTTCAAATTTAGATTTTTTTCCTGGGGGGGGACCCCCAGACCCCCTGGAAAATGTTGTCCCCCCCAATGTTGACTCCATGGCTACGGCCTTGGTGTGTGTACGTGTGTGAGTATGTGTGAAGGACGCTACTGGTGTGAAGGACACCACTCGTGAAGGACGCTACTGGGCAGTTGGAGGCAGTCGCCCTCCGGCAACAACAGACAGCAGAGGAGCGACGCTCACAACAACGAGCGGAGCGCCGGACAGTTAAAATACAGCAAGTTGGCACAGCTGGTGTGCATCTACCGGTCATCGAAGTCAGTCAAACCATGGCACCTGGGTCTGTCCCGAGGCCTCCTGTCAGCAGCGAGCCTTCGACATTTTACTTGGGCTCAAAGTGCACCTGGCCTGGCACAGGCACCGTGATGATGTCACCGTCACTAAGTGGCGAATATCGCGTATTGGTGTGTGTGTGGGTATGTGCGAGTGCTAGGGTATGTATGTGGCTATGTGTGGGTACGTGAGTGTGTGTGCTGGAGTGTGTGAGTGTGCTGGAGTGTGTGTGTGTGTGAGTGCTGGAGTGTGTGTGTGTGAGTGCTGGAGTGTGTGTGTGTGAGTGCTGGAGGGTGTGTGTGTGTGTGAGTGCTGGAGTGTGTGTGTGTGTGAGTTGTGGAGTATGTGTGTGTGAGTGTGTGAGTGTGAGTTGTGGAGTGTGTGTGTGTGAGTGTGTGAGTTGTGGAGTATGTGTGTGTGAGTGTGTGAGTTGTGGAGTATGTGTGTGTGAGTGTGTGAGTTGTGGAGTATGTCTATGTGAGTGTGTGAGTTGTGGAGTATGTGTGTGTGAGTGTGTGAGTTGTGGAGTGTGTGTATGTAAGTGTGTGAGTTGTGGAGTATGTGTGTGTGAGTGTGTGAGTTGTGGAGTATGTGTGTGTGAGTGTGAGTTGTGGAGTATGTGTGTGTGAGTGTGTGAGTTGTGGAGTGTGTGTGAGAGTGTGAGTTGTGGAGTGTGTGTGTGTGAGTGTGTGAGTTGTGGAGTATGTGTGTGTGAGTTGTGGAGTATGTGTGTGTGAGTTGTGGAGTATGTGTGTGTGAGTGTGTGAGTTGTGGAGTGTGTGTGTGAGTGTGTGAGTTGTGGAGTGTGTGTGTGTGAGAGTGTGAGTTGTGGAGTGTGTGTGTGTGAGTGTGTGAGTTGTGGAGTGTGTGTGTGAGAGTGTGAGTTGTGGAGTGTGTGTGTGTGAGTGTGTGAGTGTGTGAGTTGTGGAGTATGTGTGTGTGAGTGTGAGTTGTGGAGTATGTGTGTGTGAGTGTGTGAGTGTGAGTTGTGGAGTGTGTGTGTGTGAGTGTGTGAGTTGTGGAGTGTGTGTGAGTGTGTGAGTTGTGGAGTGTGTGTGTGTGTGTGAGTTGTGGAGTGTGTGTGTGTGTGTGAGTGTGTGAGTTGTGGAGTGTGTGAGTGTGAGTTGTGGAGTATGTGTGTGTGAGTGTGTGAGTTGTGGAGTATGTCTGTGTGAGTGTGTGAGTTGTGGAGTGTGTGTGTGTGAGTGTGAGTTGTGGAGTGTGTGTGTGTGAGTTGTGGAGTATGTGTGTGCGAGTGTGAGTTGTGGAGTATGTGTGTGTGAGTTGTGGAGTATGTGTGTGTGAGTGTGTGAGTTGTGGAGTATGTGTGTGTGTGTGAGTTGTGGAGTATGTGTGTGTGAGTGTGTGAGTTGTGGAGTATGTGTGTGTGAGTGTGTGAGTTGTGGAGTATGTGTGTGTGAGTGTGTGAGTTGTGGAGTGTGTGAGTGTGAGTTGTGGAGTATGTGTGTGTGAGTGTGTGAGTTGTGGAGTACTTGTTGATGTTGCTGCCCTCTATGAGACGGTCCCCAGCTGCCCCGGTTTTGGAGGCGCGCTCGCTCCCTGCCAGGTCCACCAGACTTATCTTGCTGACCTTCTCACCAGATGTCTACACAAACAACAACAACAGCCATTCTGACATTATAACATACATTCAAATACGTGCGTAGGGGCAAGTGCTGTTAGCGAGCGCCTATGAAGGTCGGCGCGGCACACGAGGGGTTGGCCGGCCAGCACCACGTGCGACCACCTTGGTGTGGGGGAAGTCTGGGACCGGTTCAGATAACCATCACTAGTGTTGGCCGTGAGCGGAAATTGAACTCAGGTTACCGGGTCCGTAGCGCACTACAGCTCCCCCCATTACATACAACAAAGACAAAGATCAAGAGTATAGCATTAACAGACTGTAGGAGCATTACAACAACAGCAACAACAGCAGCCGCCATTCGTCACTAAATGGTGGTGACATCACCACGGTGGCACTTGTGCCAGGCCAGGTGCACTCCGAGGCAACTTGAAGTGTGAAAGGCTCGCTTGCAGGAGATCGCCGGACAGACTCAGGTGCCGTGGGTTAAATGACCGAGATGGCTGGTAGATGCACCAACAACGGGCGCCACTGTGCAGTCTTGCTGCATTTTAGCTGTCCGGCGCTCCGCTCCTTGTTGTGAGCGTCACTCCTCTGCCCTCCGCTATCGTTGGAGGGCGACTGCCTCAAACTGACCAGCATCGTCCGCGTCATGAGCCTCATCTATAGAGACCGATATTGACACCGCTGGTACCAGTCTTCAGTCCATTCACCTCTACACCTCTACACCCTCCAGTGCTGCCTCAGTCCATCTCTTCTTTATCCCGTGCCACACCCTTCTATCTGGCCAAACAGAAGCTGCTTGGGCATGCAGTGTCTGGGCATGTGGGCTACATGAGCCAGCCAACGCAGCTTCGCCTGCCGGAGTTGCTCACTGATGGGACTGTGTTGAGATCTTTCAAGGACCTGTAAGTTCCTCACACAATCCATCCTGGTTAAACCCAAAATTGATCATAGGCAGGCCAGGCTGAATGGTTTTTAACTGGCGCAGATGTTCCATTGGAGGGGGTCCACTTTTCACAAGCATAGAGAAGGGAGGGCGTGTCTGTGGCCGAGACCACCCGAAGCTTCATGTGAAGTGGCATACCAAGTAGCTTCCTACAGCATCACGCAGCCGATGAAGAGATAATGCCGCCCGAATGATTCAGAGTGAGACGTCTGCTGTCAAACCCGGAGCTGGTCAAACACAACGCACGCACGCGCGCACGCATGCTCACTGACCCCCGAGGCGAGGTCGGTGAGCGTCTGGGTGAGCGTGATGGTGAACACGGCGTGCGAGCGGCTGCTCTCCTCGTTCATGTTCGTCGCCGCGACCGTCCGCGACTTGTTCCCCTCCGACATCAGCGAGTCGATGTCCTGCGATGCCGCGCACAGCCCACCATCAATCCCTGCGCTCGGGAGACGCCTTCGCATTGTCCGCCTTTCACGGACAAAAAGAGACGTCATCGTCATGATTGCCAGCCGTGGCCTATCCACCGCCGGATGAAGGCCTCCCCAACGCGCCACGATCCGTCACAGTCCAGCACCTGCACGAGGGCCGATCCCATTGCTCCGTCTCCGCGGCGAGCGACCTTTCGGGTGCATTCCCCCTTCTTTGGCTGCCGCTCGGAAGTCATTCCCGTCCAGTGGCCTTCGTCCCTTCTAGCGACATGTCCTGCCCAGCCCACTCCCTCGTCTAAAACAATCCAAATTACGTCTTTATCCTGCGTGGGCTCCCGAACGCATCTGTTCATCTTTAAGACTCTAAATCTCATTCTGGGCACGCATCCCAGGCATGCTTCTATCCAAATAGAGCCAAAATAATACACCAATCCACTGCTGGATGAAGGCCTCCCCACAACCACCTCGGTCATGGAGGATGCTTGACCATACTTCATCACACTGGTCAATGTGGGATGGTGAAGGAGGGGACTCAATTACAGGTCACATATCACTCTTCATTGGTGTTGTCCATGGCCAGGAATCAAAATCAAAATACCTAGAATTCGTCTAATCCTATCAGCTATGAGAAGATAAGCAGGCCTGAGCCTGGATTATTCTTGGAAAGGTGACCACGAAGCATGCCAGGGAATCGGAGGCTCAAGTCACGGTGCTACTGTGGCCGTGCAACCCAAACTATGGACCGTACAGTAAAACACTAGAGTTTAACAAGTAGGCTTTCGTGACCAACATCCTCCATAACATAGTTTTTTGGGTTGGAACGCATAAATACTCAGATTGTAAATGTTGTGGATTTACTCTCCAACACACCGGTGTGCTGTACTAGTAACGAATTGGAATTTTCTGTTTACGTGACAACCCTTACTAATTAGTTGTGTCGGGTAGTGGCGGGTTTAACAACATTTATATTAACGCGATCTAACCCCAAAAAACCCGATATTCTTGATAAAACACTGTTGTCTTCTGCACTCCTTCAATGTAGGAAGAGCAAAACTACACAAACTCTCTCCTGAAGCCCTCTCGAGGCGTGAAGACTACAACATTAGCATTTAGCTCCAGAACATATTGCTGCCATATGCTAGAATATAACACAGGGTCAAGAAGCGCTGTGCAACGTTGTCAGCGGCAGAGAGCAGGGCGTAGAATACAACACACTACAACGTTGTCCTGTGCTTCTATGATCCGAAGCCTACACACTTGCCACCATTGCTAAGCCGCACTGACCAGCATGGTGAAGTGCGGTAAAATAACCACGCCGACCCTCACGACGTGGGGAGAGGCCCTCGTCCGGCAGCGGATTGACAAAGGGATTGTACAAAAACCAGCTCGCGCGTACGTGTGTGACCGTGTGCATGCGTGCGCGTGAAGTAAGGAGGTGCGTGTGTTCGTGCATTGCCTGGTAAGATGTCACAGCCAGCTGGGAAAGGCCATCGACGTACGGACCGAATATCTGGTGCTCGCGGACCTTGAGTGCCGTTTGACTCCTGTGTAACACACGACAAAGATTCCCCCATGTAGCCATGACGTCGTTTTGGAGCAAGTGCTGTGAAGCGAGCGTCTGTGAAGGCCGGCTCAACACACGCGGGGGTGGGTGGCCAGCACCACACCAAGCCGTCTTTGTGTCCCCAGTGGCGGTGGTTATACACCCCCTGCAGGTGCTCATTGGAGGTTGAGTCGACATAGGGTAATAGACCCAGTACAGATAATCGGCTCGCCGGGTTCGTAGCGCAGCACGCTAACACCTGCACTACCGTTCGCCACACACACACACACGCAGACACGAGCGCCTGCTAAGGCTCGCAAAGCGCGCGCGTGAAGGATGCGAGGCCTGAACCAGGCCCAGCAGGAACTGTCCCCGCACCCCGCTGTACCGAGTGCTCGTCTCAGGCCGAGTCAAATTAAGATGAGGCCAAGTGATGTTCACTAACCAACTGGCACTTGCATTTCCGCATGGCCAGAAAACCGATTACCAAATAATAATGCAAATGAAACACCCCTCCCCCCCCCGATTACCATGGTTGGCTCCGTATGGTGCGAAAGTTCAACATACATACAAGTTCAACGTACAGGTTAGCAATGAATACGTCTGCATCGCCTAACTTACATTGGTGTTGCGACATCCGCGTATTTTCTTGACGCGGGCCAGCCCTCCTCCCTCCCGCCCCTCCCTCCCTCCCTCCCTCCCTCCCTCCCCCCGTGACCCTGCACAACGGAGCGTCTCCCGTCACCGGGCTGGAAACGACGAGCCGCACCACGCAACGCAACGTTCCCGCGCGACGATGCAAGCGTGCGGCACCGTTATCAACGCGCTGCTGGACGGGGGGGGGGGGGGGGCGGGGGGGGCGGGGGGGGCTGGGGGAGCGGGGGGGGCGGAGGGGGGCGGGGGAAGCGGGGGGGCTCCCCACGCCGCGCGGGTCACGGGGACGCCACTTGGTCACGGCACGCAGAAGCGCGTCGACGTAATCGCGGGCGCGCACCCCTTGGGGTCGAGGAGGTCGCGCACGCGCTCGTTGTAGATCTCCAGGTAGGAGACCTCCAGCTTGCAGGAGAGGTCGGCGCTCTGCAGGCGCTCGCGCCGCTGGAAGAGTTCGCAGCACAGGCGCGGGATGAGCCCCGGCTGTTCCGCGGTGCCCATCATCGTGTACGACTTGCCCGAGCCTGAGCACACGCACACACGCACACACACACACGCACACACACACGCGCACACACACACGCACACACACACACGCACACACACGCGCACGCACACGCGCACGCACACGCGCACGCACGCGCACACACACGCACGCACACACGCACACACACACGCGCACACACACGCACACACACATACGCACACACAAAGATCCCTGTGTAGGCCTTCAACAAACTGTTGGGGCAAGTGCTGTTCGCGAGCACGAGGGAGGGTGGCCAGCATCCATGCCCGGCCGCCTTTGTCTCCCCAGTGGCAATGTTTACACACTGCACCAGGTACTCATTTGAGGCCGAGTCGACCCAGGGGATGCCCAGCAACAATTCAGATAATCGTCAGTGGTGTTAGCCGCGAGCCGGAATCGATTTAGGGTCGCCGGGTTCGTAGCGCGGCGCGCTAACCCGCTACACTACACAGGCACCTCCCATTAGCACGGTTGGCTACGTACGGTGCAAAAGAAGTTCATAATACATACACACAAGCTTGTGTGTACACGGGCGCACACACACATAGGTGTACACGGGCGCACGCACAGACAGGCATGTACACGAGCACACACACGCGTGCACGCAAGGGCACATGCCACACACCACACGTGTGTACACAGGGGTGGCCGTGTACCGGTTTGCCCATAGGCGAAGATGCACGCATTGTAGCCATCAAATGCGTTATCTAGGAGGTCTTCCCCCAGGCACTGGAAGACCACGTCTTGCCCTGCACACGCACGACCACACACACACACAAGAGTCGCTCTGGCCAGGACGCACACAGAGTGCTACTTGACATGCATTTGCTGCAACTGTTAAAGTTAATTTAACGTGTCTCAGTCCATCAAAAAAATACTCTCATAGCAGGTATATTTTTGCAAGATATATGTTATGGTCATTATTTTCCTCGTGGAAACCTTCATCCAGCAGTGGATTGAACGCGGATGTCAATGATGGCGATGATGCTGGGCGGTGGTGGTGCACGCCTGCAATGCAGCACTGTGGAAGCTAGGGTTGGTGGATCGAACAGACGTTGCGAAACCCCCTTTCCGTATGTGGCTTGCAAGGAGAAGGCAGTACAGCAAACGTGCAGACTCCACGTGTTCCGTTGGTATGGGATAGAGTGTTTCCCCCTTGCATGCGTGGGTTTTCTCTGGGTGAAGTAGGTTCCTCCCACATGAGTACACACTCGAGAATTGGCCGATAACACCTTAACTCTTGACCGTTCCGAGATGCATGCAAGTTGCAGGGTGGGGGTGTCCTGTTCGCCTCTGAATCTCGTAACGCACAAGCGGTTAAGCGTGACTTTTCTATAGAGATGCATAGCGCCATTAATTTTAAAGACAATCGACTCACTGCAGAGAACCGCAGTGACACGACCGCGCTCTACGATAGCTCGCGCCCAACTGTGCCACACACCATCCCACATGGCCTTGCGGGAGCCTCAGTAGCAATAGTAATTTTATTTTTAGTTTTTCTTCCAGTTTAATTTTGATGCTGTACACATACGTCATCGGAAGCAGCAGCAGCAGCAGCAGCAGCGCGTTCCCCCCCCCCCCCCCAGCCCGTGTGCCCACGCTCAGCGAGGGCGGAGGCACCACTGCTCGCCACTCACCAGAGAACTTCTCCTTGTTCGTCTCGTCAATGGACCAGAAGCAGTAGTCAAACCTGAACGTCTGCAGGGACACAAGCGGGGGGGGGGGGGGGGAGGAGGGGGCACGTCCACCACACAGGTACATGCGTCCCACACGTGTCCCATATACACACACGTACACACGTACACACACGTGTCCCATACACACGTACACGTACACACACGTGTCCCATACACACGTACACACACGTACACACGTACACACACGTGTCCCATACACACGTACACACGCACACACACGTACACACACGTGTCCCATACACACGTACACAGACGTACACACACGTGTCCCATACACACGTACACACGTACACACACGTACACACACGTGTCCCATACACACGTACACACACACGTACACACACGTACACACACGTGTCCCATACACACGTACACGTACACACGTACACACACGTGTCCCATACACACGTACACACACACACGTACACGCACGTGTCCCATACACACGTACACACACGTGTCCCATACACACGTACACACACACACGTACACGCACGTGTCCCATACACACGTACACACACGTGTCCCATACACACGTACACGCACACACGTTCACACGTACGCGTAACCAGGCCGAGCACACCATACGCGAGACACATTCACCACACGGGCACAAACGTCCCACACACACGTACACATGTACACACACGTGTCCCATACACACGTACACGCACACACGTACACACGTACACACACGTACACACACGTACACAGGCCGAGCACACCGTACGCGAGAGACACTGCATAAACGTCCCACACACACGTACACACACGTACACAGGCCATTCACACCAGGGCACAATCCACACGACACGTACAATGCACGTGCAAATACACACATGCACTGGAGGTGACACCACCACACAAAGCACAAACACCACATGCATATGCACGCACCATGTACAACACAAACCACAAATGTTGCATACACCATACACTGATAAATATCCCCTTATCGCCCCATAGTCTGTTGGAGAATATGCCGTGAGCGAGCACCGGCTAAAAAACCAAAACGAAAAAACTAAACAATTTTTTTATTTAACCAGGTAAGGCCCACTGAGCTATTTGTCTCTTTTTCAGAAGCGACCTGGCCACAAATGAGAGCTCAACGAAGTGGCTCATCATCACGTGGAAATGTATAGCAGCCAGATAACTCTAAACTCGTGTTCATTCTAACTGTGCAGGGAAAGACCGGAGGACCCGGAGAAAAATCCACGTGACCACGCAGAGAACATGCAAACTCCAAACATACAGGCATCAGGGTCGGGATCGAACACACGCGCTCCTGCGTAGCAGGCGATGTAGTGAACATCTCCTAGCCGCTGTGGCGCCCCTGTCAAAAAATCCAGAGTGGCTCAGAAGGCGTGGTGTTGCCATCAACACGCTCGGCTGATGTTTGCACAGTGCAAGTGCAGCTAGTCATTTAAAGTTGAGTCAACCTAGGGGAGACCCAGTGTCGGTTCACATATCGCTCATCACTGATAATTGCTATGAGTGGAGCGGTGGCGCAACGGTCCGAGTTCAATTCCTGGCCACGACTAGCATTAGTGGTTAGTTATACCTGAGCTGGTCCTGGCCCTACCGCTTCACAAACCCGCACTCACCAGCTTGGTGAAGTATGGTTAAACGACCCTGGTGACTGACACGACATCCACTCCGTTTTGACTGGATGAGATAAAATTCTGGTCAGGGGGTCAAACCACCCTGCCATCTCTTTAGTATCGATGAAGTAAACATCATCTTGGGTGTAAAAAAAGCCAACAGTGGTTGTCCTGTGTAGAGACTTGCCCCTGCCATAGAAATGTGGAATTTCCACCACTGGCTCAGTGCTAAACGCAGTAGGTGAGTGCCACCCTCCATGCTGAACCGATTGTGTAACCCATTTGTTGTCTACAGACGCAGATTCCTTAAACCTTTCGAGCACACGTGGTCATGCACACACAAATAAGAACAAAACCCCCCCACGTGTGTGTGTGTGTATCGCGGGCATTCAAAGCTGTCCAAACATAACAGAACATTTCAAATGCGAGTGCAAAGCAACAAACCTTTGCCTGTTTGCGAGCATCGTTGTGGTAACTGTAAGAAAAACAAAAAATAGAGCAACATTAATCATTGCGATGCAAATTCCAGTTGTATTGTATGGGGTGGTTTTGTTTGTTTAAGCAATGTTAGTTGGCTATGGGGTTTTTCTTTACATGTTGCGCATAGTTTTCTATCACCACATATTGCTCGGCAAACACATCTTATATATATTCTTGGTTCTTTCGAGTAAAGTCACCTAGAAGGGAAACAATAAAATAATAAAAATATAAAACAATAAAATTTTCACGACGTTTCGACTGCAACACAAGCAATGATGATGATTGCTTGTGTTGCAGTCGAAACGTCGTGAGAATTTTATTGTTTTATATTTTTATTATTTTATTGTTTCCCTTTTACGTGACTTTACCGAAAGAACCAAGAATATGAATCCCTGCAGTCACGAAAGCTTTAAATCTAAATTTTACATCTTAAATATATAAAAAATCAACAAATAAATAGCCATGTTTTTTGAAACTCAACTATTTTTTATTTTACCAGGTTAAGCCCACTGAGCTACAGTGAGGGCAAAAAGTATTTGATCCCCTGCTGATTGTACGTTTGCCCACTGACAAAGAAATGATCAGTCTCTAATTTTAATGGTAAGTTTATTTGAACAGTGCGAGACAGAATAACAACAAAAAAATCCAGAAAAACACATGCCAAAAATGTTATAAATTGATTTGCATTTTAATGAGGGAAATAAGTATTTGACCCCCTCTCAATCAGAAAGATTTCTGGCTCCCAGGTGTCTTTTATACAGGTAACGAGCTGAGATTAGGAGCACACTCTTAAAGGGAGTGCTCCTAATCTCAGCTCGTTACCTGTATAAAAGACACCTGTCCACAGAAGCAATTAATCAATCAGATTCCAAACTCTCCACCATGGCCAAAAACAAAGAGCTCTCCAAGGATGTCAGGGACAAGATTGTAGACCTACACAAGGCTAGAATGGGCTACAAGACCATTGCCAAGCAGCTTGGTGAGAAGGTGACAACAGTTGGTGCGCTTATTCACAAATGGAAGAAACACAAAAGAACTGTCAATCTCCTTCGGCCTGGGGCTCCATGCAAGAGCTCACCTCGTGGAGTTGCAATGATCATGAGAACGGTGAGGAATCAGCCCAGAACTACACGGGAGGATCTTGTCAATGATCTCAAGGCAGCTGGGACCATAATCACCAAGAAAACAATTGGTAACACACTACGCCGTGAAGGACTGAAATCCTGCAGTGCCCGCAAGGTCCCCCTGCTCAAGAAAGCACATATACATGCCCGTCTGAAGTTTGCCAATGAACATCTGAATGATTCAGAGGAGAACTGGGTGAAAGTGTTGTGGTCAGATGAGACCAAAATGGAGCTCTTTGGCATCAACTCAACTCGCCGTGTTTGGAGGAGGAATGCTGCCTATGACCCCAAGAACACCATCCCCACCGTCAAACATGGAGGTGGAAACATTATGCTTTGGGGGTGATTTTCTGCTAAGGGGACAGGACAACTTCACCGCATCAAAGGGACGATGGATGGGGCCATGTACCGTCAAATCTTGGGTGAGAACCTCCTTCCCTCAGTCAAGGCATTGAAAATAGGTCGTGGATGGGTATATTCCAGCATGATAATGACCCAAAACACATGGCCAAGGCAACAAAGGAGTGGCTCAAGAAGAAGCACATTGAGGTCCTGGAGTGGCTTAGCCAGTCTCCAGACCTTAATTCCATAGAAAATCTGTGGAGGGAGCTGAAGGTTTGAGTTGCCAAACGTCAGCCTCGAAACCTTAATGACTTGGAGAAGATCTGCAAAGAGGAGTGGGACAAAATCCCTCCTGAGATGTGTGCAAACCTGGTGGCCAACTACAAGAAACGTCTGACCTCTGTGATTGCCAACAAGGGTTTTGTCACCAAGTACTAAGTCATGTTTTGCAGAGGGGTCAAATACGTATTTCCCTCATTCAAATGCAAATCAACAATTTATAACATTTTTGACATGCGTTTTTATGGATTTTGTTGTTATTCTGTCTATCACTGTTCAAATAAACCTACCATTAAAATTATAGACTGATCATTTCTTTGTCAGTGGGCAAACGTACAAAATCAGCAGGGGATCAAATACTTTTTTTCCCTCACTGTATGAGCTCTTGTTCAGAGGCGGCCTGGCCGCACACGATATCATCATGCTCACCGAAGTGGCTGACATCATCACGCGTGGGAATTTACACTTGCAGCCCCGAAATCGAAACGCATGTTTGCAAACATGTTGGTAAACACGGAGGGCAAAAACCGGAGGACCCGGAGGAAACATCCACGTGACAGTCAGTGGGAGGTTTCCAACCCACGACCTCCCGCGTACAAGGCAACGGGAGATCACGTCTCCCCGCCATCGCAGCCACCCCCATTGGAAAAGACAGCTCAGCCAGTAACATAATTGGTGAACAGATTTTTGAGTGAAGTTGCACCGATTCGTCAAGCCCAGAGGATGGCGACAGTGCATGCAAGACAACGGCCGCTCTTGTGAAATGGATTACTCCGCACGAGTCACAAGACGTGAAGTAGCCCCCGCCGTAGCAATGGGGGCGGAGGTGCTGGAGGGGGCTGAACCCCCCTTGCTGAAGACTCAGCCCCTCATCTCAATTGTGAGTCAAGTCAAACAATGTTCGGTTCAATGTTTAACCCCAGCGGCAGTTTTTTTCTTCTTCAAAGATTCACAGCAAGAGCAGAACGCGTGACAGACCAAGGCGCTTCGCACTGTTACTCAATCTCTTCGGCGTGTGACTCTGATTTCAAGTTTGTTTAACGTGGCATGCGTTGTGTCCCACCATCCCCCAAGCCCCGCCCTTAGGCTGCAGACGTCTCCCGGCTGTCAACAGTCATGCTCCAGGTCCGACGTGGAACATCCTTCATGGTGGGAGAGGCCCGCAGCTTTGTGTTTCCTGAACAAAACAAAACCCTCGAACGGCTATCGGAGTGGGGCGGTGCTTTGGACACCCACACCAGCCACTCCACGTGCATCCGTGCCCTGGTGTCCCCCATAACCGCCCCGACACAAAAAGCCTTTACGATTCATTCTTAAGTTACTTCCGAGTTAGATCGCCCTGTAGGTATAAAGCCATGTTTTTTTTTACTATAACCCTCCATCCATCCACCCGACACAGCCAATCAAATCAGGTTGTCGCGCGGGCAAGCGTGCCAATTGATTTGGGGGTTTTCAGCAAAGCCAGAGGAATGTTGAAGAGCAAGCGAGATATTGCACAAGTTTTATTCGACGTTCTGCTGGAGATTACAAACGGCATCATCAGGTGTTTTAACGAAAGCTGAGCTCTCGCGCGGTCCAACTCTACCCAACTTCTGAGTGCATTGCTAATTCACTACCGGGTGAAGTGTCCCCACAGGCCATAGCAATAATGGGGGGGGGGGGGGGGTGGTTCACCACGGTGGTCAACATGGGTTGGTGAAGGGTGAAGGGGTTCACAATTTGGGTGGCCGGGTTCATCGTGCTAACTGTTGCGCCACCACTCCGGCGGTGGAGCGAAGCACACAGTCCCGGCTTGCGTCAGCCTGCTTCACAAGCACACGCCTGCAACAAGCGAGAACGCACAAACAACGACGCGGAGGACGGGGCCTCCCCCTCCATTGTCCACGAGGGCTCGTCAAGTTGTAAACGTCGGCCGTCGTGCGTAGGGCCCAAAGAAGTGGAAGTGCCACCCTGAGGAAGAGTTGTTACAGATTGCAGCAACAGTTTGCCCTGATGAACTCCGCACTACGCCGAGAGGTGCGTTCATCGCAGCACTGTATCTGCACGGTGCCTCCCCTCTGATAAACCTGGAATTCACCATTCAACGGCGGAACGCGTTCCCTTGCAAACAAGCGGTCTGCGCACACAATTAAAACCCTACGCCTAAGGCCTTTCCGTCCTATATTACAATGAAAACTTCGCGACGGCTTATCACTTTCAGTAGCGTTTGTTGCTGTTGGAGATAAGCGAGTAGCCAAACTCTAACTCACAGCCATAACCAGGATCACTCAGCTGATGGGAGCCCTGGGCTGATGAGTGTAACGTGAATCCATCACCCAGGGCACGGTCACCTCCTCAACCCTTCAACCCTCCTGGGTCAACGAAACGACCACCGGCTGTCGAGGTTGCGCCATTTGGTTGGAAGTGAAACAAGGCTATCGCCACGGTGGCAAGGGTCACCACGGTGGCGAGATGTTAACTACCTCGCTGGGTATGCAGGAGGTCGTGGGTTAGATCCCGACCCTGCTGCCTATATATTTGGAGTTTGCATGTTTTCCCCGTGGTCGCGTGGATTTTTACCCCAGGTCCTCGGGTTTTTCCCTCCACAAATAGAATTAACATGTGTTTATAGTATTTGGCTTTAAATTTCTACGTGATAAGCCTCTTCGTTGAGATAGCATTTGTGGCCAGGTCGCTTCTGACAAAGAGCTACATAGCTCAGTGGGCCTTACCTGGTGAAAGTAAAATAGTAATAAATAGTAAGAGTAGTAATAGTAAGGATAGACTGACCGATCGCACTGCACGAATCCGTAGCAACTTCTAACACAAGACCGCCAAACTAACCCTAACCCTTGGGCACTGCCTAATTGTGGAGCTTTTGGCAGACAGAACTTGATCACGGGAAGCGACACACCAATGTGCCTGGAGAGGAGGCGTTTCCCGACCGGCGTGTAATGCGCGCTTACGACACATGGATAAGAAACAAAGGCACGGACGAAGCATACGGAAAAGAACGAGTGACAAGCGTACGAAGGAGCAAGGAGAGACTCTGGTTTGGACTAACACACCAAGGAGGACAGGAGAAGGAACGCGTAAAGTCAGCGAACACGCGCGAGATCAGAGGCCAGAGGCGCTACGGTGGCGTGGACTCTCAAGAAGAGGAAAGTGGGCCGGGGTGGGACACGTCGCCGATGGTCGAGATCAACGACGGAGTTTGCAGCGTAAACGGACCGGGCGGAGGGAGCGCGCCGGCCGCGGAGACGGACGAGGC